ATTAAAATAAATAATTATGTTTACTTACTTACTGATTTTAATTTCATAGAAAGGTCTAGATTATAGGTCAACAAAAAAAAAATGGTGTATGTATATGACAATACTAAATTTGGATTAGAATAAATAAACTTTATAGCCATTAGTGATTGTAAATAAAATATCACCTTATACTTTTAGTTTAATATTTCCATACAGAGATTTTAATTAATGCATACTTAAATTAAAAGATAATCACAATATGGCAGCAAATATTATCACAAAACTAAGTTGGATTCGGTTGAACTGGTTGACATCAAGATATCACGTATAGAGCACCCGGATCCTATTGAGATCCGGATGCATTTTCGGAGAGTTTGATAATAACTAAGGAAATTGGTTATGCACGAATATTTCATTACGATCTCGAGATCCCTAAGATTCTTTGTCTAGCTACCTAAATATTTTTGCATTTTTTACCAATCAAAGAATTGCTACTTTTCCATAGTGGGAAATGACCTGCAGTTTATGTGTAGAATTGGATTATATAAAAAAATGTTTTGTACCTTACATAAGGCAGGGCACACACATAAGTCGCTTAACAAAGTTGTTTTTATTACTAAAGTATATATATTAAATTAGATATATAGATACAAAAAATTTTATTTTTATAATATATCACAACAACAACTTGCTATAATCATTAACGACCTAAAAATGGTTAAGATTAATTGACAAATAACTGGAACACAGACCCCCGATCTATAGCTCGCTCAAACAATATTAAAAACAAAACAACCTCATCCATACTCACACTTACACCCACCACTCCTCTTAGTCACACACATTACACAAACTTCTCCAGCCTTTCTATCGCATTCCGTATCTTTGTTTTGTTTGGTATTAATTTTCTTTAATTTAAACAAGAACAACAATTGTAGTAGATCTTATGTGCTACCATAGATACAATTAGTTAAATTCTAACAAAATAGAGATTATATAGCTATTAATACTAGACCTGGAAAACGTTGGAACTTTGCAGTGACACATGTACTTAAGGAAATCAATATCCTATATGAGTTGAGCTATACTTAACCTTAAATTTTTATAAATAGCTGACATATTCAAAACATATAGATGAGATATATTGTATCATTAAGGTTGTCCACAGTATAATATCGAACACTTTTGGGTTCACCATCCCAACACAACTTAAGCTATATACTAACTGAAACTTAAACCATCGAATCCAAATATTAAAAAATCATTGTTCATAATAAAAAGAGTTTTCTGCTAAGTCTCTCTGCTAAGAATTTGTTATTGAACTTGTAACTTAACCCAAAACTCGAGTATGAAATGTTGTAATGTAAATTGGAATAAATTGTAAAATATCGTATTTTATGGTAAATAATTTAATATTAAGCTATAGTTATTAGGATATTAATATATTCTGCAACTTATGTCTGAGATATTGTATTGAGAATGAGAATAGTTATCTAGTATGCCACTAAATAAAAAAACTTAAGTAACATTACAGAAACTCTGACAGAGAATTTAATCTAATAGCGCCTCTCCTATAGATAGTTGTATGATGATACAAACTACGGTAAACACATGTATTTGAAGTTTTTTATGTATTTGAAGTTTTTGTTCCCATATTCCCCAAAGTTTTGCACGTCTTATATGAATTATTTTTTGTAATTTAGGAAAGCTTTTTCTTTCGCCGCCCTTTGATAAATTTCTCTAGTTCACGTACTTCAAGACATATGTCAAGGCAACTTATCGTTGCAATACAATCTCCTGACATAATTTAATATTTTCTAATGACACTTGTAGGTTTTGTAGGGAAGCGTATGACACCGCAAAATAGTTGATAGAAGCTTGTGTGCGTAAACGAAATACCTAATCTTATCTTATATATCTTATATCGGAGACAGAAATAAGACTCGGTAATGTTAATCGAAGTTAATTTTATATACTTTATACCCATGAAGACACAATAAAACCTAAGGAAGCAGTGTAAAATTATCCAACTTAGTAAATATAACAATATATGTAAAAAAAATATATAGACTTTAGATCTTTGCTATATTTTAAAAATATATGCATTAAAATATATATAGCAACAATATATATAATAACTACAATATAATAATAACAATACCTATAATAATAACATCTACATAATGTAAACCTTATATTTTTACCCTATTTTAAAAGTATATGCTTTGGATTTGGAATAAGTTAAGAATATCTATAATAACAATATCTATAAAAAATACTATATATATTACTTTAAAGTTGGAATATATATGCCATTCTTACACATATCTACACATATTAATTAATAACTTTATAAATGGAAGCGTTTTTCTAATCAATTTAACTTACAGAAGAAAGCATAATTTTAATATTTTTCAACTTAAATAGAAATTAACAAAATTAGTCTTTTATTTATGTATTTTAAATAATTCTGTTGATGCTTTGAACAAAATTCTATGAAAACCGTTTTAAAGTGGGAATAAAGTATAAAACGGATACTTCTTTCACATTTCCTAACAAATTTCCTACTGGGCTGATGGCATTGATCTTTGTTGATGCTAACCCATTTTTAACATTTGAACATCACACACCACACACACACACACACACACACAAACACGTTATAAGCAGAGGAAATGAAAAACAAGGCTAAAAGGGGACCTGCACAGAGCTGAGCTGAAAGTTTATCTTGAAGGTTATTCTGCTTACTTTATTTACAAATATTTAAATTTAATTATTAAATAATTAAAAATAATTAAGAACTTTTAATTTATAAATAAAAGTTAAACTATAAAAAACTCACCTTTTAATAAATCCAATGCGGTTAAAATTTTTAAAAAATTGTTTTTTTATTTATCTAAATAAACTATTATTTGTTAATAACATTTAAAGATCTCTTAATGTTTTATTATATTTTTATTTATTATTTTTTTTCAACAATAATAAATTATTTTGTTTTGAATTTAAAAAAAAAATAACTGTAACAAAAAAAACCAAACGAAAATAAACATAAATCATAAAATAAACAACATAACATAAAAATCAACAATTATTTAATACCGAAAGTATTTATTCGTTAAAATAAATGCGTCATTAATTTGTATTTAAACAATTTTACTGATTTTTTTTTTATTTTCACTGAAGTTTCAAAAACAACAACAAAACCGCTTGCATTTTCTTGCAGCAAAGAAACACCATTCACAGCAAAACAACTTCTCACTCGTATAACTTCTTCAGGTGAGAAGCAAACATCAAATTGGAGAAAAATTTTGTAGTAAAAAATACTTGCGCGGTCTTTTGTTTCTTTCGTTTTGAGTTATTGGAGTACAGCACTTTCGAGCACAGATACAAACTTAACAGAAAAAAAAATACAAAAACAACAATAGCAGTAGCAACGAAGCAGCTTTGGTACTACCACATTGCAGAAAAGGATGAACAATTCCTTTGCACTAAAAATCGTACTAACTTTTTTGCATTTCAGTTTGAATTACATTATTATTTCAAAATACACACACATTTTACCTTTTTCACTTAAAAATGTCTAAAATTGTGATTGAAATTTGTTTATAACGAATTAAAATTATGGGCGCGGTGCCCAATTTTTATAAAATATTTTACAGCGTCAACAATTATTTTCTCTAATTAGAATGGACATAAACCAAAAACCAACCGACAACAAGACCAATTCCGCTGATGGTTGAAAACAGACTGAGTGCATATTCGGCAATTGTTAGTGAAATGAGCCATGTTTTCCACTCTTTACTCAAAAATAAAGTGACCATCTTCTCTAACTTTTTAAAACGTCAGTAATTTGTTATAAATTAATATGTGCATATGGTAAACATTTATGGAATAAATATATTAAAAAAATGATAATTATTTATTTTAGTAAATTAAGACAAACATTTTATATTTTTATAAAATATATTAAATATTTTGTGTAAAACAACCTCAAAAAACAGTGTTGAGAAGCAACTATTGCTAATTTTAAATTAATGTCGGTTAGAAATTAAATACATAAAATATATTAAATATTTTGCACAACTAAATAAAGCAGTATTGAAAAACTAGTTTTGTGAATTTTTAAATTAATTTCAATATATTTCGTGTATATGTAAATTATGTATATATGTAAATTATATATATAAAATAATTAAATATTTTGCACATCACAGACATCGTTGAAGAGTTGTTTCGAAATCTGATCTGAAAGCTAGGCAGAGAAGGTCTCATACAGTTTAGAAATGGAGGTAAGGATCGAAACGGGGCGGTAGCTTTATGGTAGACTATCCATCAACTGGTAGTTACCAGTGAAAAGCGGTTTTGACATACCGCTTTTGTGGATGTAGAAAACTATGGCTATCTTTCATAGCTTCGTAAAATATCTAAAAATATAATAACATAAAACATATAAACTTATAATAAGGCTCCCCATGATCTTTTTTGCAACAAGCATGCTATATAACTTAACAAATTATATGTTATTTATGGGTTGTTATCATCTTATTGCATTAAACAGCAAATATCATCCTTTTTAAATTTTAATTAAATTAATTAAATAACACAAGATCAATTATTGTTTAAATTATTATTCGATTTAGGCACTGTTATTATACAAGTAAAATGAAGTTTACAAGTAAAGGAAAAATATTTAATTAATTTTAGTTGTGCTCTTCTCATATTTATTGAATCGATGCATATTTGTTATAGCCATAAAGCTATATTAGTTATAATAACAAGTCATTAAACAATTAAATCTATTTTATTAATTAATAAAAACTTTAAATAGTTTAAAAGAAACCTCTTTCAGCCACCGTACGAAAATATGAATGTCGACATTATTTGTGCTATAATTTTGTCAACTGTTTGTGCATTTCACACGCATGATCAATAACAACTAGCGTCAGATAAGAGGTTTCGCATCAGTACTGCTTTATAGCAAAGCACGTTTTATCATTGTTCTTCGCGTTTGTTTTCACATTTCTATTCAGTCAGTTCTTGGCAATCATCGCGGTGTGGGTATAGCTCGAATTTTGCAGTTAACGTAAATAAGTTTGGTAAAAATATATTAAAGGACTTTATTCAGTATTTTACCAGATTCAATCATGCCATACAAAGTCGGTAAGTAAATTAAGAGTCAAATTGAGCCAATTGTTAATTGACCACGAATTATTGGCCGGCATCTCTCAATATATACCAAAGCATTTGAGGTTAAAGGCGATATGCAACACTAATTGCATTTTATTTTTAGCTGATATTAAACTCGCAGAATGGGGCAGAAAGGCTATTATCATTGCGGAAAACGAAATGCCTGGACTGATGGCCTGCAGAAAGAAGTACGGTCCCTCTAAGATTTTAAAGGGGGCACGTATTGCGGGCTGCCTTCATATGACAGTACAAACAGCAGTGCTGATAGAAACGCTCGTAGAACTTGGTGCTGAGGTAAGTGAATACGTAGTTAGCAACAAATAATGTAGCCAAAAATATTTCTGTTTGATTGCTTATCTCTACGTAAATATTTTTACGAAAATCTCCATATTGGTCTATTGTGCTAATGCTAAATCGACGCGTGAGATAAGCGGGTCAGCAGTTCAAGTTTAAACAGTTGACAACATTATTTCCGTTTCTCAACTTTTTATTTTTTACATGATGTTATTAACTATAATATTTTCAAAAGGTACAATGGTCCAGCTGTAACATATTCAGTACTCAAGACCATGCTGCTGCAGCAATAGCCGCAGCTGGCATACCAGTGTTCGCATGGAAGGGCGAAACTGATGAGGAATATAATTGGTAATTTATACTGAAAATATACAATCATAATGAAATAATAACACAATATAATTAATTCTTTAGGTGCATTGAACAAACTCTAGTATTCGCTGATGGTAAACCTCTTAACATGATTTTAGATGATGGCGGTGACTTAACAAATTTGGTGCATGATAAATACCCACAATACCTAAAGGACATTAAAGGCTTGAGTGAAGAAACCACAACTGGTGTACATAATTTGTATAAAATGTTCAAGGATGGACGTTTAGGAGTACCTGCAATTAATGTTAATGATTCTGTTACAAAGGTATTTCATTGAACTAAAATATTATCCGAAATAAAAATGATTTATATTTCTTTACAATTACACAGAGCAAATTCGATAATTTATATGGCTGCCGCGAATCTTTAATTGATGGTATTAAACGTGCCACAGATGTTATGATTGCAGGAAAAGTTTGCTGCGTTGCTGGTTATGGTGATGTTGGCAAAGGTTGTGCTCAAGCATTAAAAGGATTCGGTGGTCGCGTCATTATTACTGAAATTGATCCCATCAATGCTTTACAAGCTGCTATGGAAGGCTATGAAGTTACCACCATGGAAGAAGCTAGTAAAGAAGCAACTATATTTGTCACTACTACTGGTTGCGAGGACATTATTACTAGTGCACATTTTCTAAATATGAATGACGATTCTATCGTTTGTAATATTGGTCATTTTGATTGCGAAATTGATGTTGCGTGGTTAAATGCCAATGCCAAGGAAAAAATCAACGTTAAACCTCAAGTTGATCGTTATACACTGTCAAATGGACGTCATATTATACTGCTAGCTGAAGGCCGTTTGGTGAATTTGGGTTGTGCACATGGACATCCCAGTTTCGTTATGTCCAACTCTTTTACTAATCAAGTACTTGCACAGATCGAACTTTGGACAAAAGCTGAAAAATATTCAATCGGTGTACATATGTTACCAAAAATTTTGGACGAAGAAGTTGCTAGTTTGCATTTGGAAAAATTGGGCGTTAAACTTACCAAACTCACAGACAAACAATCTAAATACTTGGGTGTACCAAAAACTGGTCCCTTCAAACCCGATCACTATAGATATTAGTGATTTTGTTTATAAAATTTTTTAGTTATTTTAATAAAAAAAAATAAAAGCTAAAAATTATTTTTCTATTCTAAATAAAAATGATCGAGATTTTGTCTTATTACTGCCGAGAGAATGTTAATGCTCAGAAAATTTCTTTCTTTCTCAATCTTTTAATATTCTAATATGTATGTTATATCTATTACGATGTGTAAAAGGCACTTTGCCGCCTGTGCTAATGAGTAGCTCCGGGAAACCTCGATTTGTTTAAGCTGCCATTTTACTTCCATATTGTTTAATACAAATGATGAAATAATATATAGTATTCTAACATTTTCGACACGCTTGCCCCATATTCGAACATCGAGAATTTTAGCAATTATTTTTTTTCTGTACAAAACTGTTCGATAGAATTGTTTTTAGAATTGGAAACACTAATAATACAACTATCCACTAATAAGTTTATACAGACTAGTTTCGGTTAGCTTAAACCAGCGACCCTAAGGAGCCACTTATGCCTATAGATTAGTTTAAAAGTACTCTAAAGATATATCGAGCAGAACAATTGGACTGTTTAACGGAAATTGACTATTTATATTAATAATAAAGATTATTCTAGGACCAGTACTTAGCGTATTTTCAGTCTGTACTTATACGAACTATAATTCAAATTAAAGGATAATTTTAGAGTTGCCGCTTCACTTTTTTCATAATAATTGTGAAATTAAATGGGACAATTATTTTAGGAGCTACGACACCTTTTGAATTATGCAGTTATGTGAAAATTTTATTTTAATTTGCATTTATAAATAAAAAATAGGAAATTGTATAATATTGTAAAAAAAATTGAATAAACTTTTTTATAAGATTTGGCAACCACATTTTTCATCACTAACGTCATCTAACAGATTTTCTTATTGAAGATCATATATATTATCAGCAAACAATCCTTAATATTGCGGTCAAGTGTAAGAAAAAGCACTCGCCTATATTAGACGCCGAATTGTCTAAATTTTCTATGCCAAGTCTTGCTAGGTTACCCCAAAGTCGTTTTGAAGTATCACATAAGGTCAAGTAATTAAAATATTATCTTAAAAAGGCACCTTTCACAGTTTGGCGTGACTTTCTCTTTATGCGTAAGCGAGGTTAAAAGCCACGACATTGTCAATGACGAGGTTCAAGCAGAACCGCAGCTCGCTGAATATCAAAATGATGCTAACATTGAAGTCGCAATTGAGAATCTGGTTTATTCCTTAATGGATTTCAGAGAAGATGCTCGAATTTAGTAGCGGGGAGCATATCTCTCATTGCTTGCTAAACGTTCATTTGAAAGTAGAGTACTTTCGGACTACATTAACTACAAGCGCAGATCCAATAGCAAATATTTTCCCAATTCTGCTATCTACAAGTCTTTTAATATCGAGTGCTTAGATGACTTTTTGTTAGCACGTTGATACTTTACCAGAAGTCATAATCTTCGGAATAGTGTTTTTACCCAGCTGAATTTGACATTGATGTACACAATAATATAAGATACGAGCTTCCTCAATATCCGGCCCTTTATCCACTCTACAATCGTGGTTACAGTAATTACTACCTGCCAAGAACATTCTCCCCTCCTCCGCTCACTTGTTTCAAATTTTTATTTAGATATATTTGTTGTTTAAATATTCAATATTCTATATTCTAATTTCTACCTTTCCCTTGTTTACTAAAATGGGGTTTCAGCTTTTGATCTTTATGATCCAATGGGCGAAATTTGTCCATTTTGCATTCCTAAGAGGTGGTTTTTATAGGTTCAAGTCTCTGATTGTAGCTTTCGATTCTTTCAACTTACCGAAAAAAAATCACATTATCATATGTATATGCATTGAATCTTTCTGGAAGTTGGCTGCTTTGGCTATCGTCTTTACGGTATCGTACACATTCTCTTTAGCTGCAGTGTAAACGCTTACGTTTTACAAATTGCTACGACGAAAGCCACTGCCGTATGAAGCAAACTGATCAAAGGGGAGAAAGCAGAAAAGCGAAAAAACACTTGAACAAGTTTTTAGTTGGGTTTTCGGTTTTATGGTGGGAAGTTCGTTTGGCTGTGATTGTGCGTTCAGAAGTAGCGCTAGTATATAACAAAAAGTGATGTTTACATAGTTTTAAAAAGAGAATTATTTTAAAAATGTACACAACAAACATTGTTTTTAATCATTGATAAGATAGTAACTTTAAAAGAAATATAATTTAAATCAAATCTCATGATGAAATCCGCATTAATTTTTCTGATATCCGCACTCTCCGCGGTTGTCTCTTATGCAAATGCAAATCAACTGATCTTACCGCACCCCGTAACAATTTGGACAGCGAATTTTACGCCGTATAAATTGGAAATGCATATGGGGACAAGTGCAGTGGTTCTATTAGAAATCTCAAGTACTAAGCTTTCCTAAAAAAAAAATCCCCATTCATATTGTAAACATGCACAAATAATAACCCATTAACCGATAAAAAACAATTTAAAATTATTATCTAAAAAGATACTCAATTAATTTGTTAAGTATATAACATTGAAAGGATTTAAATTTTTAAATAAAAGCTGAATTGGTCTTTATAGAAATCACTTGCAAGTGACTAATAATTTCTCTATTTCTATATCTCTAACAAAAAGCTATTATGATATGATATATATGAGATTACATATTCAAAATTATTTTATTGTGTCATAACAAATGAAATAAACCCTACATAATATTGGTTCTAGAAGCGAGCTTAGGAAACCGCTTTTAACTCAGGTGTACATGAACACGTTTATCTAGTATTTAGATAGATAATCATCAAATGATGTGCAAAATTGGATGACATGCTTAGAGAATTCTTAAAAAAACATGAAGCCATCAATGCAGAATAGTTTCCTAAGAAGAATAAAACTACTGTGAAATTTTGTTTTTAGAAGCAATCTCAGAAAACCGTTTCAGACTTAGGTGTCATATATACTCATCAAATGAAGTGTACAGAATAATGTGATATGTTTACAGAATCCTAATAAAATTTGAAATCTTCACTGAAGTTAAACTTTTTAAGAACAATAAGTGTACGATAAAATTGGCAAATGAAAAGATGCCTATACAAAGTTCTGCCTAATCTCCAACATAAAAGTGGGACGATCGCAAAACAAAACTTTGCTTGATGACAAGTTTAACCATCCAAACTGACCATTGCGAAATCTTCTTGTAACTTTTACTTAATTGCTAAAGATTCCTCAACTTATCGATTATCAAACTTAATAATTGTGATTGAAAAACATCTGTTGGAATAAGATTTAAATCTGTATTTTTATGAAAGTCTATATGCTTGTTCTAAAGAAAAATCATGGTTTCGCATGTTTCTGTCGTAATGCAGGTTGTTATATCAGCTATTTGCATGATGTATAGAAACATTTGATTTTCAAAGTTTGGCTAGTACTAACTTTAAAGTGGTGTCCAAGTAAAAAGTTCCTGACCGCCCCATTCAATGACTTGGATTCCCGCTGAGCGTTGCAGTCCCAGAGAATTATTGATATTTTTACAAATATGTAAACACAAACTTGTAACGAAAGAGTGGAAGGTGGTGTAGGTTAGTGATGCTAACAATCATCCGACTGAGGCTAACGAACACTTTAGTTTAGTTTTTGGTTCTATCAACCTTAAATGTTCAAAAATTACCAAAATACCCCGTGTGTAAGCCAACCATTACTCTAATCTTAACTTCTGAAAAATTGGAAAATGTCTCCATTTTATTTAAATAGACACTAAAGCAATATACAAACCACTAACTTTAAAGCCATTCACTTATAATATGCTGAGGACACGTCAAACTTATATTGTGTTTTGTTGGTTAATCGATCATGCTGAAATGACTGCTTTATTTCTAGATAATAAACAGATAAGAACCGAATCCGTTAAGAACCGGATTGTTAAGAATAAGCAGGTTTGCAAATACGATATGAATTACAGTTACGTATTGATATTACGTATATTAGCTGGGATCTGGTTAGGTAAGGATAGTGTAAGAAAAGAGGGAGTTGTTTAGGATCAAGAAAGGATTGGAAATGATTCTAAAAACGACCCAAAGCCACTCGTCAATTTCGACAACTAACCGCCGTTCTGCATTCTCAAAAGGGATTATACCAGAGATAGTCATCTTAACTAATGTGAGAAAAAATATTTTTCACCATATGATACTCTCTTCAACCCTACTAACAAGACATGTTAGATATGTTGTGTATATATGTAATTATGTTGTATGTTATGTATGGGAGATATGTGTATATAGTAAATATTATAATTAAATAAATCATAGTACAAAACATGGTGTTGGAAATCACCTCATTAATTTTTGTCAATAAACATAACGATATTATTTTCTTTTAAAAGTATTTTCTTTATTGTTATAAGCGTTATGACAATAGTCTAGAACTCCAACCATATGTACTAAAAATGTTAATATAAAATTGGCTGGCTTTTATGTACAACATATAGATAAATAGTAGTACTCGCATTACACGTTTATAAATGTAGGGACAATGATACAATATGACTCATAAGATCTATTGTGATTCCATCTTCTGTTGTAATTTTAGAAGCGGCTGGATCTGTTAATTACCGCTCTCAACAGTGACTTAAGTACCAGAGTTCCCTAATAAATAAACAACAAATCTATGATATTGTTGTATTAAATCATAAAATTGGAAACAATCGTTGCAGTTCTAGACTATCACTATACAATATTAATCTAGTTAAATCTAACTTAAATTTCTTTCAATAGATGTCTATGTCGAGAAAGATACGAGCTTCCAGCTTCATAGTGAAAAACCAGATTTAGCATATGTAGAGCATATTATACATGCGTCCGATATAGATCCATTTACAAAATCGTGGCGTGGAAATGTGACAATCAATGCTATTTTCATGGGTGGAACACGTGTTTATGTGGAATTAACAAACAATGAAACCGGTTATAAAGAACGAAACGCTGAAAGCTTAGAGCTTGTCATTACACGACGTATGCGTGTTATTGATCACGTTTTTACAGGATCTGTGGCATTACTAGTTTCATTACTTTATATCAATTTTGGTGCAGCATTAGATGTACATGTGTTACGAGGTCTTATGTCACGCCCTGTCGGTCCAACAATTGGGTTTATGACACAGTTCATTATTATGCCACTATTAAGTTATGTGCTGGGTTATTTAATCTTTCCCGATTCTGTTGAAATGCAGTTAGGTCTATTTTTTACTGGTGTATCGCCAAGTGGCGGCGCTTCGAATATATGGGCTGTTATTTTGGGTGGAAATATCAATCTTTCGATACTGATGACTACAATAAGTAATTTTGCTGCTTTTGGCATGATGCCTTTATGGCTATTTACCTTGGGCCATGTTATTTTTGAACGTGGCAGCATGAAGGTACCGTATACAAATATAGCAACATTTGCAATTTGTCTAGTAGTGCCACTAGGAATTGGACTGTTAATACAACGATACGCTAAGCGTTTGGCTGGTATATTAGTTCGATTGTTGAAACCGATTTCTTCTTGTTTAATTTTATTCATTATCATTTTCGCTATCGTTACTAATTTATATATATTCAAACTTTTTTCATGGCAGGTAATCAGAAATATATATTGTATATATTATTTTTAATTAAAATCAAATTTTTTTTTGGGCAGATTATCGTCGCTGGGTTATCACTTCCGTGGCTTGGCTATATATTTGCATGGTTTGTAGCTAAAGCTTTACGACAGAACACTGTAGATGCACTTACAATAGCGATTGAAACTGGAATACAGAATACCGGAATTGCTATATTTCTACTCCGCTTTAGTTTACCACAACCACAAGCTGATTTGACAACTGTTATACCCGTCGCTGTGGCTATTATGACACCTTTTCCGTTATTGGGTTTATATATATATAAGCGGTGCACTAGAAGAATTATTAAAGACGGATTGCCAGAACAGCAGTATATCGTTGAGCATAATTAGGTTATAAGTAAGAATTATACAAGATATATACATTTTTTATATTCTCGGTTCTTAAGTGTTTTTTATAATATGTATATCATGTAGAACAAAAATGAAACGGAAAAAATTACATAAAATTTAGTGTTCCGTTGCTTTAAATTGCTAGTAAATAACAACCATATACGGTTTTTAACGCCTTATTTATTACTATTTTTATGTGTTAATATATATTATTTTTATTGTTGAAAATGTACTTTTATAAAATAAACCATAAACGAAGTTTATACAAACTTATACATATATTTTCTGTTATTATTTCCGTTTAAGAATTCTTATTGCCGTTTAAGAATTCTTATTGCCGTTTAAGAATTCTTATGGCTGACGAAACTACACCGAGAATAGGTAATGGCATTTGGCTACAGTAGGCAGGTAAATTGCGGACATAGACCCTTATGATTTTGACTAACAAAGAACTAATTACACAATAAATTACATTACTACACAATAACTTTAAATAGATTTAAGCAATTTTTTATAAATTTTACAATAGTTCAATAATGGCTGGTGATAGCATTTAATACAATTTTTTCTCAACTTACCACTTTCTGAATCTCGGGTTTATTCATGCGAATAACTATATCATGTTTCCACTGCAGTTAAAGCTACTTATGTTAATGAAAAGAAGATTTCATCGTTTCCATTGTCATAAGCTGATTTATATTTGTGCAAAAGCTGTTTAGATTTTGCTTATAAATAAAAATATTTCAAACTTTGGTGATTTTCCTTGTGGGAAATTTATTTTTAGTGGTTGCGTTTAACATTTTTCGCCTTAAATCAATTGATTTATTTATAATGAGCTCATTTCTATGAAAGTTGTTTGTGTGGTAAATTATCCCGATTAGCGGCTTTAATAAGAAATACTGCCTAAATAAGACATGGTGAAAACATGGTATGATGTACAAAACTATAAATAAAAATAAGATACAATATTGAAATGTCGGAAAGTATTAGTGGGTGTGTTCGCTCTATTTATCTCAGCACACACCGTTATCTTACTGCACTTAATCGATCATTGTTATTGTAAATAGCGTTGATTTGAAAAACAAATAAGCGTAGCAGTGTGGATTGAAATGGTGTATGATATGAGCGAATAAACTAGGATAGATACAAATGTTAAACTTAATCTGGCTCCAGGTGAAGAAAACTTACCACGTCAATGCAGCGGAACAACCTCTTTAACAGTTTTTTAGGACATTTTCCATTTACTTAATATATAGTACTCCACATTAAGGTATTACAATGATGACTCAGAAGATTTCTACAGCTTAAGATAAGCCACGACAACATATCTTCATCAGTATAAAAATAGTATAAAATAATAATTGTGACTTCATATTAAGGTTTTCACTTCCTTTCTTACATTACCCGATCTAACATCATTCAATTAATAAAGTTATTCAGGTAATAAGATTAAATTACATAGATTAACGTTAAGATTACACATGAGCTTGAGTCCCATTGATTTATGGCTTTGCATCGTAAATAAGACAAGTTATCTTTACCTCAACCTAGGCTAGTTTCAATATCTACACGTTCACTTTTCTGCTTCTTTATCCGCAACATATTCAACCGACACCTACTTTCATCCTATGCCATTTATGTTTTTGCTTTCAAGAGATACCTGTTGAGCTGAGTTAATAAATTCTGACAGAAGAAAGATAAATGAAAATGCAGTCATATATACAAAATTTAAATGATTTATTAAATCATTTAAATAAAAAAAAAACGTAAAAAAGAAAAAGAAATTATTGCTTAGATAAATAATAAATAAATTATTATTGAACTGATAATGTAATAAAATTTTCAATAAATTTTTAATTCAATTATTGATTCTTATGAAAATGTTATATTTAATTGAGCATCTACAAATATAATTATTTATACTATAGATAACTATGCTTATGTATCTAAATACCACAACACATTGGTGAATGATATTATATAAAGAAAGATATATAATGAGTTCATATAATAGAAATCTAGAAAACGTTTAAGTTAACAATAACACTTCAATCTAAAAAAAAAAAGACAGTGACTTTTTAAATTAATCACTATTTTGTAATAATATCTTAATTAAAGAAAATATTGTGCGTGGCTCCAACTTATTTTTTGCCAACTCATAAAGATAACCCTCGTAGCAAATGGTATTAGAAATGTTAAGGTGCTCTACAACATTCGGTGTTAAGTTATAATAATTTATAATCGCCATCAATCGTGCCATATCTGCAGTGCTAAGGTCTGCCAAGATGCTAGCATCAAAGCTTGAAGTAGAAACAAAGAGTTTTAAGTATACATTCAGTTCATGCAGAGAATTTTCAAAATATAATTTCAATCTTTCTAAATTAGAGTTGACTAATTCCTTTGAAAATAATATATGATCTTTCTGATAATGATCGATATAAGTATCTATTAGTTTTATTTGCCAAACATCAATTGATGAAGGTAATTTTTTGATACGACAAATGTGCTGAAATATAAATAAAAGAAATTATTTATATATTTTATAGCAAACTATATAAAAATCATATAACTTACATCAAAAATAGCTAGATATATGGGTAATACATGCATTTTATCCCTAATAACAGCGTTATAAAATAATAAAGTCAATTGTTGTTTTTTCTGATATTCAATATCATTCACACTATCCTTGTCCATATGTAGAAAACGATCAGTAAACGCAATGACATATGATTCATTTGAGAAACGTTCCAATGTTTTTGTATCAATTTCCCAACAATTATATTGTTCAGTAGTAAGTGTTTGTGCAAAAAGACTTTTTAAACGATCTGGATCTTCGAGATGCGATAGGCAACCAGAGCGTTTCTTAATATCAATGCATGCCGAGTTCTTTAAAGCGTTTCTACTCAATTATTTTAATTAGTTAAATTTTTGAAAAAAAATTAAAATTTATTAAAACTTACATTAATTGCTGCCAGTTGCGATTTTTCTCAAAACATACTGGCCAATAATTTGGATCGTCAACTATAACTTTTTGCAAAGTATCTAAGTTAGGCAACATACATGGTGCCATTGGTATACGTTTTAATTCTTTAGAACCAACTTCAAGCACAGAAATACTGCAAAGGCACAATTTTTTTGTGTCAATATCTCGTGGCAAAAAAAGACGTGGTTCTACAGCCAAAACATATAAATGACGAAAAGCTTGTAGATGATATCTTAAAAAAAATATATAATTTATTATTTATATTTTTGTTATAAATTTCATAGTAGTATCATAGTAGCTTACCTATTGTCATTACTATGATTTGGAAATTTGGGAAAAAATGCACACACTAATGCCGCTACGGCTTCCGGAGTTTTAGCTATGGTAAAACGACCTGCACCCAAAAACAATAAGCCTAATGACATATGTATAGCCAAGTGTGAACCATAAGTGACTTGTGAGTGCTGAGGACCGATACGTGAACGCAAATAACGTATTATTCGCAGTATTTCCAAATCTCCTGAACCCGCAAAAACCAATGATATTGAAACTAATATTAACATAAGACTAGTTTCAATTGTTGTGCGTCCAGCAAACTCTCCAATATATTTGCCAGGAAAACCTAAGAACATTTTGATTGCCATACGTAAGGTTTTGAATGCTTCCTGATTTTCTGTGCCTGCATATTTAATACCAATGCAAAACGCTGCACCAGCTATTATGTTGCAGTAAGCTTGACTGCAATAAACCAGAAAAAGAAATTAAACAAAAACGAAATATTTATTATTTTATGACCAATTAGCTTGTGAAAACACTATATCTCAAATACGTTTTATTCTATAACACTTACGTGATTGCTTCATGATCTATATCTTCACTATCTTTAACAGTAGCACCTCGCATTATATCAAATCTTAAATTTTCAGGAAATTGATTAAATAGCCAATTCTCACTTGGTTCAATATTAGACCAAAGTATAAGACCTCTGGCTATTGTACGCAGTAATAACAAATCGGGCCGCACTAAATCTAATAGGTAGCGTGTGTTTGGCGGATCCATCCATTCTGCTACAGCACGATTATTTGTGTTAAAGAACATTAAACCTAACGCTAACGTAGCACCGGGTGCAGTTACATCTATATTCACATTATCACCCTCACGCACTTGAAATGATGGTAATTTGTACTTTTCTTTCTGCGAACCAGTTAAGTTACGTTTATTGCCACCCACCATATAATAATGTAAAGTGTCCGGCAATTGTAGATCACGTAGACCAGCTGGTGATTCACCTTGCCCCAAAGTAACTAAACCCAAAGCTAAGCCTGCAGTTAGCGCATATGATTCACGTTCAATACTGTTTTCCATTTCTGGTCCCGGAGGTCGACCTTAAAATTCAAAACAATTATTAGATATATATTTTTGAAACCTTAAAGACAAACGACTTGATTTACCTACTTCCTGCAGCAATACCTCTGCTATATGACGTTTTGCAGTACTCTGATATACTAGACCAATACCCATCAAGGAAGCTACTTGTATATTTTGTGGTATATCCAATTCTAAAGCCGTTGCCGGCAATAGCGCTTCAATATGCACACTCAATAGTTTGGTAGTTGTATTGTCCATAGTACCTGTAAGTATTAGCATTTACTTTCTAAAATACTTGTTATATATGTAATAGAAATACTTACCTCTATGCGTAGCAGATATACCCAACAGTAAACCAATACTTGTCATTTCATCACACTTTACCAAATATTCATAAACGCTCATAAATGATAAAGTTTTTAAGTGGCCATTTAAGCCGAGTGCCATTAAAAAACCGGCATGTTCAGTTGAGATATCAGTTTGTCCTTTCGGTTTATTATATACTATCCAAGTTGAGTCAACATCGCGTGCGTTTGGTGATATTTTTAATCCTGCTGCTACACCATTATGAAATGTTGGCCATAAACTCATATTTGCGGGAAACTCAATTTGTTGCATTTCTATGGTTGCACCTTTGATTGGTTCCTTGCCAGTTAAGCATAGTTTAGGTATTGGCATTGACTCAGTTGGTGTTGGCATCGATGTACGCAAAGTAAACATGCCTCGACCCATTGGCAAAGTCATCGTACGTGTGCACATAGCAAATAATTGCTTTTCTTGCTCTTCAATAAAATCATGATCGGATGTGCCTGGTGATTGCGTTATATCAATTAACACCGATTCTGATGAGGTTAATAGACGACGAACCTCTGCAATACGCATATCATCGGGAAATCTTAAGCTTAATAATTTTGTATCAATATTATCCATGCCATCGTCGAGAATAGCTTCCATTTTAGCAATACCACTTCTAGAAGGCGGACAGCGTGCTGATAGAGAATCTTCGATATCGGGATTTGAAGTATGACAATTTTTTTTAACAAAATCAGCACTAAGTTTTGCGTGTTCCACTAACTCAGAACGCAAAATCAATTCGTATGTTGCAGGAGTACAACCAATCGGTGGATTGAGGCGTGAATATTCCAGGCATTGAGCAATTATTAAATGAATTGCTATCGGCAAACGTTCAATATCCTTTCTTTTTATACCTATATTATTATAAATTATATTAAATTATTATATTTATTGTAATATAATAGTTTAAAGAATGCAAAATCTTAGGGAATTGATAATATTCATATTTGTTATTTTAATGAAACTCAACTTATGAAATAATAAACATACTAACCCATCATAATTAGCAGCTGTATAACCTGCTCCGACCGAGGCACATTAACGAATATACAGCGTTTAGGTTGATTTTGATAGTTGGTTTCTACAGTTTCTGAAAAACTTAAGGGTTTAATCCAATTCTTGCTTTTTTTATGTCCATGCATAATAAGAGATATAATCTAAAATATAGTAAATTTAAAAATATGTGCATTTAACAAGTTTCTATATTTCTAGTTTCTATACTTGTAGTATATTTCGGCTTAAGTTATTAATCCCATCCACATATGAATAGCGAGCAGCTTTGAGATTTCCTTTAAGTATGTACTCCAATTGCATATAAATACTTGGTGCTGGTTCTATTAAGAATTCCTTATGCAACATTTGCGCTGCATGCTGCTCAGTAAATATAAATTCTTTACTGGTTTTAAACGCAAGTTTAGGAAAATCAAGCGTGTAATGAAATATATAAGTGGTTAATTCCATATCGATCGCCATTTGATGCAAGAACTAATACAAAAAAAAAATGAATTAAATAAAATTATTTGAATATTGTTAAACAAACCTTTGCTAAATATGGTAAACAATCATAAAGAGATTCATCTAATTTAAAATCCTCATAAAGCAAATGCAGTCCACAGAATATCGAAGGAACTTTTTTAAATAGACAAGCATTTGTATCAATACGATTATTGTTTGTTATATTGAGTGTGTTATTCTCAGTTTTCCCATCTAAAATTTTCAACATAAAAGTCCAGTCTTCATCTGTGCCTTCTGTGATTTCATCATTTTTCTTTCGTTTTTTGGGTTCTTCAGCATTAAACGAAGTCGATGTACTAGCACTCGTATCATTATTTGAAGCCAGCAAACCCATTAACTCCAAAAGTAGATTCATAAAAACTTTCCATTCTTGCTCAATTGTATAATCACGTGAACCAGGTGGATTGCGTGCAGCATACCAGCGTATAATCATCTGTAAGAATTCCTCTTTTTTCAATATTTGACGTAATGCGCTAATGCAACGACTTATGAATTTTGTTTCATTAATTAAAGGTAACGCAATACGGTACATTTTGTCGGACGGGTAAACCAATGTTAAGCGATTACCAACCGGATCTCTTAAGCCTAGACAAACAGCATTAACACACCTAGAAAATTAATTTAAGTATTACAATATTAAATCAAACAACTAATAAACAATTGTTTATACCGGTTTGTTGCAGTTGGTTGTAATGGATGAACTGGTGAAAGAAAATGTAATTCATCATCAAAAGTAGAGTCACCTGGTTTTTGTACAGTCGGCAAAAGACTGCTACGTCTATAATATATAAATTAAAATAAATTAATTTAATAAAAAAATGTTTTGCTAATTTAAATTTATTACCTTGGGAATGATAAGTTGGGTGATTTAATAAAGCTTGTCAATATAGTGCCTGTTGGTGGCATAATTACAGGACCTACATGCACTTTGGATACTAAAATACCACCAGTATAAAGTATTAAAGAACCTGATGGATCCAAAACTGCTATCATTTTCATGCGCTATATAATTATATATATTTATTAAAAATTTAATTTATTTATGAGTAGTTCATACTTCCAAACAAACAGCATCTTTAGCCGGAATGGTTGTGGACATTGTAGATATTTGTAAAATTTTCTTCGGGTAATTCGTTAATCTTACTAATTGTAATTTACTTGAACGTGATAGTAAATAGCATAAAAATGTTTCTCCAAGCAGATCAGTATGCAAAAAGGCTTTAGAAGAAATTTCGCAGAATTCACGATTACTTAAAAAAGAATAAGTTATTTATTTAAAAAAATATTAATAATTTATTTTAAAAAATTTATTTGTTTAAAAAAATAATTTCTTTTTAAAAAAATAATTTCCTTTTAAAAAAAATTTTTTTCATTTAAAAAAAATAATTTCTTTTTAAATAAAATTTTTTCTTTAAAAAAAAATAAAATTGTTTCTATAAAAAATAATGGTTTTAAATTGAGAAATGATTTATTTAAAAGAAGTTGTTTTATTTAAAAGAAATTATTTATTTTAAAAAAATAAACTATTTGTTTTAAAAAAAATTAATTAGAAAAAAAAATAATAAATTATTTTCTTAAAAAAGAAATAAATTATTTGTTTTAAAAAAATAAATATTCATTTGTGTAAAAAATACAATAAATAAGTTATAAAAAAAAATTTGTTTTAAAAAATAATCAATTATTTGTTAAAAATAAAAGTAAATTATTTGTTAAAAACAAATTATTTATTTTAAGAAGAAATTAAATAACTTGTTTTAAAAAGAACAATTATTTGTTTAAAAAGAAAACTATTTGTTTTAAAAAAGAAAAATGATTTGTTTAAAAAAAATATTTTAATAAAAAACTCTTTGTTAAAAAAATTATAATTTGTTTAAAAAAGAAATAAACTATTTAAAAAAAATAATTATTTTTTTTAAAACAAATCAAACCATTTGTTATAAAAAAAAATTATCTACTTGTTAAAAAATAAAATAAACAATTTGTGAAAAAAAAATTGTAAATATTTCTTAAAAAAAAATAAAAATATTTCTTAAAAAAAATAAAAATATTTCTTAAAAAAAAAATAAAAATATTTGTTAAAACAAATATAAAAATATTAATATTAATTAATATTAAATATTAATTAATTATTTAAATAAGTAATTTTTCGCAGAAAAAATTACTTTATTACAAAAAATTTATTGCTTAAAAAAAATGTTTTAAAAATTAAAATTATTGGTTTTAAGAAATAAAAAATTTGTTGGAAAAATAAAATAAACTGTTTAAAAAATAAAATATACTATTCATTTAAAAACAATTAATATTAAAAAAATTATTTGTTTAAAAAAAATATTTCCTTACTTGCCAAAAATATTTTCAGTCCAAATATGCTCTAAACAGAGTTCTGGTACAATAGGTTTAGATGGTTGCGATTGTCCGCCTTTTCGCATATCATGCATTAAAATGGAATGTTGACCCATTGTAGATTGTAAATGATTAAGCGGTGTTGTACGACTGTGTTTAGAAAATCAAAATGTTTTTTGTTTCAAATATAAAATTGTACTATAATTTAAAAATTACTTCAAATTTCCAAAAGCACCACTCATTGAAAGTGCACCGGAAAAAAATTTACTTATGTACGAAGAATAGTTCGAGTTAGCAAGACTAGAGCGTCCATAATTTGTTGTGCTATTTTTCGATGTAGCTAAATAATAAAAACTCTTTATATGCATATAATCTTAAATTAAAAGAATGTCAACTTACCTCCAGTAAACTTCATGGAGTTATGTGAATAACTGTTAACGCCACCACGATTAATACTATTGAAGTTATGCAAAACGCTTACTCCTGTCTCATTTTGACCACCAACAGCATTGATCTCTTCTTCTGTTGCTCTTCTTAAACGCGAAACAAAATGTTTTCCAATTTTATTATCATATAAAAGTAGTAAATCACTAATTTCTGATGAGAATATAATAATATAATCTGATTCTATAAGATAACTTATTATATTGGTAGAAGTTTTGTTTAAAACTGGACATATTTCATCTAAAGGATGTGATAGAGAGAAAAGCCGTGGCATTGCAATGGTCATATTTTGTACCACTGTCTTTGAAGCAACTTTTTCGAGTAGTATGCCAAAACGTGTAGGCCAAACATTTGAAACGGGAAATTCTAGGTTATTTAGGAAATCTTCTCCATTACTACAATAAACACGTAGTGAGTTTGAATCTAAAAGCATATTGAATCTATGAGCATAAAAATTTATATAGAAATATACTACAAAAGTGTACCAATCAAACAGACTGCAGATATATCATCTTCGTTATCATTTTCAGCATTATTTTTCTTGTGTTTTCCTCCAATAATAAATGACTTATTACAAAAAAAACCAAACTTAATTGGAGTTTCACAAGTGAAACATAATCTCGGCAAAACAATGTCGTCATCTGATATCCCTATGTAGAAATATTAGTTTACATTATATTTATATAGAAATACATTTTATTAATTGTATACCCCTAGTCCAAAATGCTGTGTGCTTTTTAATGTACAACTCTTCCTCTGAATTAATAACATAATCACACATATAATCATGCGTAGGTTGTGGAATTTTAGGTGGTTTAAATTTTTGTTTACTAAACGTCTGTTTCTTTTGTGGTTTTACTATACGTGCTTGTACTTTTCGTTCGCTACAGTCTTCATATATTTCTCGCAAACACCAGAACTCATTATGTTCATCAGGTTCCGATATGTTTACATTTTGTAGGCGTTGCAATAATATGTACTCAGAAGGCAGCAGTAAATGATTTTTAGTATCCAAAGGACCAGGATGTTCTTCAAAAGCCAGACGACCCTGAGGTATAAACTCCTAAATTGTTTATAAAATATATTTAAATATTGCTATATTATGTTATATATATAAGATTTACCAAAGGTTCAGCGGCCTCGATCATAACTTCATTAGTTTCATCCAGATTTGCAAAATTTTAAATGCGCTATATGCACAGAAAATAACTTATTAAACAGTTAATAATTAAGTGAGACAAGAAATTTCTTTAAACTTTTAATGAATATTTATTATAAAATCCTTAAACTATGCCGGCCGGTTAAGAAACAACACAAAATATTCAAACACTACATTCACAATAAAACACCAAACACCTTTTGGTAACAGCTGATGCAAAATAGAAGCACTTAGATGTAACACATTTTATAATTCTGACAGCAGCATCATTTGGGTATTATTATCTTCATCGCTTTAATATTTTAAAAATTTGTATTTAACATTTTAAGAAATTCTTAATTTATATTTAATATTTATAATAAAGTATTCTACTGTAATATTGTGTACAGAAATAAGTCACATGCAATTTAAGTGTCACATCTAAAAATTTTAGTTAAACATATGATTGTACTGTATTTTTATTTCTTATTTTTTTTATTTTTTATTTACGCAAGTATCTGCATAATAAAATAAGAAGTTACGCTAAATTATAAAATTAGAAGTTTTGAATATGTCCAAATATCTGCTAAGTGGAATTAAAAATTCGAATACTGTTTACCGCAGTTTCATTGAATTAAGAAAAGTGTAAGTTTAGATAATTTATGATATAAATCTCCTATTTTATATATTTTTTACAATGTCGATTAGATGTTTTTCTTCAGTACGCAACAACAATATCATTAATAATGGCCCTAGAGAGAAGCCTTTATTATATAGCAAGTCTCAGCTATTACAATACAACAAAAGGTTTATGTTTATTCAAACTCAAGACACACCAAATCCAGATAGTTTAAAATTTCTACCAGGTAATGACGTCTTGGGAAAAGGCAACACTTACGATTTTCCCAATGCTACAGAAGCATATTGCAGCCCATTAGGTAAACACATACCTTAAAAATATAAACATTATATTTTATTCGAAATTATCTCATTTACAGCTAAGTTACTTTTTCGCATCGAAGGTGTAAGAGCAGTTTTTTTCGGTGCAGATTTCATAACTATTTCAAAACTAGAGGATTCTGAATGGGCTGTTATTAAGCCGGAAGTATTTGCTGTTGTAATGGATTTTTTTGCAACCGGTTTACCTATATTAAATGAGGCGAAACCAAATTCGGACACCCAAATCGAAGAGGATGATGATGACACAGTAATGATGATAAAAGAATTATTGGATAGTCGAATACGACCAACTGTGCAGGAAGATGGTGGCGATATAATATATATGGGCTATGAAAATGGCATAGTTAAATTAAAAATGCAAGGTTCCTGCTCATCATGCCCTAGTTCAATCGTTACCCTGAAAAATGGTGTACAAAATATGTTACAGTTTTACATACCCGAAGTCGAAGCTGTTGAACAAGTGTTTGATAAAACCGATGAAATGAATGACAAAGTTTTTCAAAAAATTGAACAAAGTATTAGGTTAAAAGAACGAAATATGGGACAAACTGATGTAGAGGATAAGAAAGCTTAAATAAACTTAGATAAGCAGAGTAGTTGCATACTGTTATAATGCTAAATTTCAATATATTTTGAAGATATTATAGTTATATATAAAACTAACAACAAAGAGAATATATTTATAATAAATATATAAATTGTGCTGCAGAATTGTTTGAACTGAATTTTCATTTTATTTGTTATATTTAGTTAACCATAAGTTGTGAAGCTGAAGTTTTACATCATGTGATTATAAAAATATAAGTTAATATTTGATAGCTACATGTTGTACATTTCTCTAACACAAATAACTTATATATATATATATCTATATATATGTATGTGTTCAATTTAGGTGGACATTTCCGACTTGGCTGGGTACAGTAGCCCGCACCAGCCAGCGCCATCCATGGTTTGCTTTCGCCAATTGATACTTTTATATCCGTGATCACCTGGGTCTTCCACCGTAAAAGTGGACGTCCCCTAATGCGTTTACGAAATGCTATTAGTCATTGCTATACGAAATAAATGCCCTTTAAAATTTTGCATTTTGAACTTCTGAAGTTGCCGTTTAATCTATAACAACGTATCACAATTTACACGACTTTACTTTGCGTTTAGACTGGATAGAGTTTGCCAAGATTTTTATGTTTATATATAACTGCTTGTGTATCTTAATTTTTTGAATTAAGCGATAAAAGTGCTTAGATATTCCCGGAGCACTCTAAGCTGGCTGACCTCACTAATTACTGGACATGGCAAACTCAAGTATCACCTCAAAAAGATAACTCTTGCTGAAGAAGACACTTGCAGACTATGTCTAGAAGAAAATGAGACAGCGGTGCATATATTGTGTCAATGTCCAGCACTGGCAAATAGGAGGAAGACTGTCTTGGGACAGCAGTGGGTTGGTGATGACTTGGCAGGAAACCTCGAGCTAAATGAGCTGCTTGCATTAACAAAAGATGTAGCTATGCGAACGGAAGCCACTCCAGCTTTAACTCAATAACAACATCCGAGAATCAAAGGACGAAAAAAGACCCAAGTAGTTTCGTGGTCTACTTCGACTAATCCTTCAACTCAGTTGTACAGTGCGCTGCCCCAACGTTCCACCATATATATATATATAAAATCGCGAAACAGTGACCAAAAACGTTGCCAAAAGTCAAGCTAATGTAATCAATTTTTGGGATTATCTTGATAAACGTGATGGGTTTAAATTTACCATATTTGTCTATCATACAAAATATCTCCAAAGATGTCTCAGATAAACGGGTACTTATTTTTAAAGTATATTGGTTCAATAAATGCTACCTCAAAAAATTATATTTCCAAAACGTCAAACAAATTGTAAATCTTATAAATTGGTTGAAACTCAATAAATTTAATGTTTATCCAAAATTAATCTCAAATAATAAAAATAAAACAGAAAAGTTCGAAAATTGTATAAATATTATTATTTACACAATGAAATTTAACTATTAACAATAAGAAAATATGGCGTCAAACTATATTCAAAATTAAATTTTAAAACGAGCATATTTGCAGTTTTTTTTTTATTTTAGTGTTTACTAAAATTTATATAAAATCCATCTAAAAATATACTAAAGTGGGATTATGCACTTAAACTCCTTTAAACAAAAATTGTTAACGCATATAATACTATGTTTACACTAAGATTTATCAGACTTTTTCAGCATATTTTTATATAACTTTTGTGTGTAGCATATTATGATTGCAGTCATGTCACGTCACCATAAACTATGCAGCTGTTATTTTAGAAATATGTAATTATATTCACACTTACATGTGAATTGATTATATATTTATATAATAAAAAATTAAATTAGGTGGTTTCGACACCTCGCAAGTGTGGCAAGAAACAAGTTGCTTACTATAGGCGTTAGCGAGATATTGGCATCACTGTTGCAACCTGTTAAACGTTATTTTCGTACAAATTCTTTCCATTCGTCCTTGTTTCTAGTAGAATAACGTAGCTGACTACAAGTTCATTCACTACTTTCCTACGGAAAGTAGTTTTCGGTCGATCTACAGATCGTTTATATAAATTTCTCACTTCGTTTTCTCGAACGATTTTCACAATTTTGACAATTACACGAAATTTTGTCCAACGTGAGAAAAAACATCCGAGAAAACTAAATAAGAAAGTTCCATAAATGAGCCGCTGTTTTTCTCACTCCTTGAGGTTTCCATTTCACGACAGCATGAGTCATGGTTTTCTCGATGTGTGAAAAGTTACATTAAATAACTGCAAACAGTTTAATGCAGATAAAAAACTGGCATGCATTGATTAAATATAAAAATATTTAATAAAAGTCAAAAAATTTCATTTGATGCTTTGCTATCACAAATTAATTTCGTTTGTTGATTTATATGAAGTAAGTTTTTAAATTTTTTTTTATAAAATTTTATTGGTTTCATATATTTAATTCAAAATTTTGTTTAGGCCATGTTATTCATATAAATTTGCATATTTATAGCTTTAATTACAGTAAATATTAAATACATGTGACTTTTTTTTTAATTATACAAATTCTCTCTGCTACCTAGATTCCGTAACACGCTGAACGTACCTACACAGATAAATCAACATATGTAACGCAGCAGGTAAGTTGGTAAAATTCGAATTTGAATAAAATTTTTTGTGATGGTAACCCATAACTGGTATTCATAAATACAACGTTGTGAAGGGACGCCATTTGCTGCTGAATAAAAATTCTGCTTCATTTAGTAGTGGTAATTGGCCGTCAATTACCTTACATCGTCTAAGTTTCTTTAAAAATATAATTTTATTTAAAGTTAGTTTTTAGTGTTACTTATAAAAGAAGTAAATATCGAATAACCAATTTAATTTACTTTTTTCGCTAAAGTAAAAATATTAATTATAAATCGTTTTTGCAACAAGCACACCTTTTCGTTGTTACAAGAAAAGACTGTGTTGTAAAAAAATTTATTACTAAAAACAATTTTAAAGCGTTAAAATAAGAAACTGACACATTTTAACAATTGTTGAGCAATAATTGTGGTAAGTAGAGCTATTTCTTTAAAACATATATTCCGATTGCGTATTGATTTTTTTCCAAGTCATATTTCCTCGCCTGCTGCACGCATCACAATTACACGAACATTTACGAATTTGAATAAAAAAGTTCAAAGCAGATGTAGATATTTACTTAAAAAAAAAAATAAGTTAAAGTATACTTAAAAAAATAGAAATCAATCAAAAAACATTTTTTTTTTGAATTATCAGTTTATTTCTAAATAATGTGTATGAATATAATTCAGTCTCTAAAGTTTCTTTAAAAAATTGTAAAATTATAGTTCGTTTTAGTAATTTTAAATTGGAAAATGTCAAATTGTTTTATGTCAAAAAATTTCAATTGTTCTCAATATATTTCATAATAAGCTTGAAATATAATTGCACAAATAATTTGCGCTTAAAAAAAAAAAGAATACTAAAATAATTTTAATTCATATTTTGTCCCAGACGGCCGAAACCAGAATATAGCATAAAATATTCCAAAAAAATAGTAAAACAAAAAACGAACAAAGAAAATGTACAACAACGCATATACAGCAAATGGTGGTGCACCCCAGATTGCCGGTGGTGGGTTTTATGGTTCACGTCACAACAGCGATCGTCCGCAGTATCAACGCAATCCCGTTGGTGAAGGGTCTGGTGTAGGCGGAACTGGTGTTGGTTATAATAACCAATATGGTGGTGGACAGTATCGTGGTAATAGTTCTAGTTCTATTATGACTGGAAACGGGCCTAGTTTCTACGGCAATGGTGCAGCATATCAACCACGTACTAAAAATTTTGTACCACGTCACCAGAAGCCAATGACTAATTATCAAAATGGCTCGTTCCATAATAACATGAACGTGGTGAAAAATATCCTCTCCAAAGAAGAGCGTGCAGAGTTACAACGTGAAAAGGCAAAAAATCCAGGTCGCAATTTAATCACACCACATTGGGACAATTTGCAGCCATTTAAAAAGAATTTCTATGCTCCACATCCCAACGCTCTAAACATGAGCGAACAAGCTGTCTCTGATTTACGCAAAGAACTTCAAATTACTGTGTCTGGGGTAAATATACCACATCCAATATCATCATTTGAGGAGTGTTCATTACCAGCATATGCTATTGAAGAGATGAAGCGTCAAGGTTTTACCCAACCGACTGCTATTCAATCGCAAGGTTGGCCAATAGCATTATCTGGTAGAGATTTAGTTGGTATTGCCCAAACTGGGTCTGGTAAAACATTAGCTTATATGTTGCCTGCTATGGTTCATATTGCAAATCAACCACCTATACAACATGGTGAAGGCCCCATTGCTCTAGTTTTGGCCCCAACCCGTGAATTAGCGCAACAAATACAATCAGTTGTACGTGATTATGGTCATCTAACATCACCAGAAATACGTCATACATGCATTTTTGGTGGCTCATCAAAGGTGCCACAGGCACGTGACTTGGAGCGTGGTGTAGAAGTAATAATTGCAACTCCCGGTCGTTTAATTGACTTTTTGGAAAATCGTACAACTAACTTACAACGTTGTACTTATTTAGTATTGGATGAAGCAGATCGCATGCTGGACATGGGTTTCGAACCACAAATACGTAAAATTATACAACAGATTCGTCCTGATCGTCAAGTAGTAATGTGGTCAGCAACATGGCCAAAAGAGGTTCAAACTTTGGCTGGCGATTTCTTAAACGATTTCATCCAGATAAATATTGGTTCGATGAATTTGTCTGCTAATCACAATATCAGGCAAATTATTGATATTTGTCAAGAAGAAGAGAAGCCGCAGCGAATTGTAAAACTTTTGAAGGACATTATACCAACTACCAACAACTCAGCAAATAACGGCAACAAAATAATAATATTTGTGGAAACTAAAATAAAAGTAAGTACATTTATGATATACAATGATACGTAATTATTTTTAAATAAGTAAGAAAAAACAAAATTCAATTTTCATTCAGTAGCGATTACCATTACTCAGTATATATATGTAGATAAAATTTGTTATCTTATTTTCATTGAATCATATCTGTAAGGATGTAAAAGGTCTCTTATTATATAAAAGATTTATTAATTTAAATGAATCATTTAAAAATCGATGCAGAATGTTAATCATTACAATTAATTTATAATACTTTTAATTTCAATAACGGTCGGGTCTACATTCCGGAGCCACTTGTCGATCCAAACGACCAAGTGCCGTTTAACATCCCCCAAAGGGATCACACAGACAGATCCCGGTGGGTTACAACAACATAATACTTTGCATTAGATCTTATTATTTTACAGAACGTACACCCATTCTGTAGATTTGCTATAGAATTTCACTGTGTAGAATAAGTTTAAATATATACGCATATTTTCTATGAGTCACTTCCAGCCATTCTCAATATATTCTGTACTTATGTTGATATTTGATTTCTTGGAAATTACAATTTTTTCCTTGAAAAACAAATGGTTATCTCGTAATATATAAATATTAATTTAAATTATATTTTTTTGCATTTTGGTCTACCACCAATATTTATAGCAGTAGTCTGATTAAACACTTAAAAACTGTTGCTAGCCAAAATATAGTTTAATTCATTTTTGAAAATAGTTTTTCATATATAAGAAATTTTGTACAGACCGAAACAAGTGATCATTCGAAGTTCTTAGAAGCAGGTAAAATAGAAGGTATAGGAATATGTGTCATCTAAAATGTTGAAACTTTTGACTAGCCTACCACACTTGTATTAAGTCTCATATTATCTTAGTGGAGTACTGTACTCTTTGCACTGGATCAGGCTATAGATGTCGCCAAGCGCACACACAAACTTAAATCCCATCGACCTTTTGATCCACCCCATAGAAGTGACTAGGTTTCTCTATCTTGATACTGGTTGATTTTAAATTAAATCCTATCGGGTTCAAACAGCAACATAATATTAAAGCGTATATAAAAATTATCTTTATGATAGTAGTATCTGAAAAAATATAGATAGATAGTTACATTTTAGGTTTACAATGTACGTTCCGAGCTACTTGAGCAGTAAGTCTGTCGATTACACGACGGAAATACTTGAATTTTAAAATGCTTAAAGCTTCAAATAGCTTGAGTAATATTTAAATCATTAATACAGAAATAAATATATAACCAAGGTCTAAATAAATTTATTATTATTCAATTGTGATATATTTGTACTTGTACTTATACTTATTTATAAATATACTTGTTCTTATAATTATATTTGTACTTATATTTACTACTTTATATTTACACTTTATATTTACTATACTTATATACTTATACTTATACTTATACTTATACTTATACTTATACTTATACTTATACTTATACTTATACTTATACTTATACTTATACATATACATATACATATACTTATACTTATACTTATACTTATATTTATACTTATACTTATACTTATACTTATACATATACTTATACTTATACTTATACTTATACTTATACTTATACTTATACTTATACTTATAGTTATACTTATACCTATACTTATACTTATACTTACGCTTATAAATATATTTATATTTATACTTATATTTATATTTATACAAATACTAATATATACTAACACTGATGCCGTTTTCGATTGGTGAATCTGGATTCAATCTAGATTTACTCTCTATCTGTTAATCGAGGTAAGATCTACTGCTAGTAGTTATTTATATTTTTAATAAATGCATATGACGAATGAAATCACACTTTATTTGTCAAGTCATATAAAACTGCTGTTTTATATTTCAGGGTAGTTTCATTAATGTGTCAAAATATCTCGAGTGTTATACATTTCGCTCGATATTTACCAAACGAAAATAATAATTTCACTAAAAGTCCATCTCCATTGATAAAGTTACTCTAGATTTACCAATCTCAAAACTGCATTAGATTTATATTTACACTTTCACCATACATACGTATACACTTTTACGTACATTTATATATTATATATATTTACATAAGACACTTAAGAATTTATAACAAAAACATATTTTTTCTTAGGTTGAAGAAATCCTACAGATCATTCGTAATGAAGGTTATACAGCTACGTCTATACATGGCGATAAATCACAAACTGAACGTGATTCTGTTTTAAAGGACTTCCGTAATGGTAAGTCTAATATATTAATTGCAACTGATGTAGCTTCGCGTGGTTTGGACGTTGAGGATTTGCAATTTGTCATAAACTATGACTATCCAAATTCGTCAGAGAACTATGTCCACCGTATTGGCCGTACTGGTCGTTGTCAACAATTAGGCACAGCTTATACCTTTTTTACACCTGAGAATGCTAAACAAGCACGCGAATTGATATCAGTATTAGAAGAAGCTGGTCAAGCACCACCACAGAATTTGGTAGACTTAGCACGTTCTGTTGGTAATGTTAATGGTCGTAATACTAGCACTAAACGTTGGCAACAACCAAGTAATATGCATCAACAACGTAATAATCCTCTTAATTACCAAGCCGGTGGTTCGAATGGTAACAGTTACAGTCCTAAGCCTCACTATACTTCGAACGGTGGTGGAAGCATGTACCAACAACAAAGTAATTCTGGTAGTTGGAATAATCGTTCAATTAATAATCAATACAATGGTGGTCAAGATGGTATGAATGGTGGTCGCGTTTTTCGTCCCCGTACTGCATTCAACTCTACTGGACCACGTCCAATGGTAGGTGGTTATCACAATCCACATGTACCAGCTCATTTGCAACAAAACAATGCATATGTACCACATCAGTACAGACCACGTAACCAATATGTTCCAAATGGTAATATTCAACGTTTTCCACAATATCAAAAGCGTGAGTATCCACAGCAAAATCATTTCGATAAGCAGCAAGGTATGATGGCAAATAGCGCTGATCATCAACAACAGAACTTAAATAGCATGAATGCAGTTACAAGTCAGCAACAAGCAAGTGTTGTCGCAAATATTGCTGCAGCTGTAGCTGCCGCCAATGGACAAGTTGTTGATTATCCGAATGTTGGCACACCACCAGCAGCAGCACCAACTATGTATGCTGCTCCGGCTCAATCGCCACCAATTAATGCCAATAACGCTGCTTATATGTACGATACCAGCGGTATGTTAGCTGCCGCTGCCAATGCTTATGGTGGACAATTTGGACATGCACCACCAGCAGCATATTATCAACATCCACCACTTCCGCATCAATATTCCGCTGGCGGTGTAGCTGCCGGTACAGCAGATGTCCTACAACAACAACAGCAGTAAACAATTTTCTTCTTTAAAATTTAATCATTATTAACTAGTTACAAATATTCAACATAAATTTAATTTAATAAAAAATAAAAAAATTCTTTTTCTCTAAAAACAAATACGAAACGAGAAGCGATAAAACTACCGCCAGTAAAACTAAAATATTAATATAAACTATAAACTATAATATTATAAAAAGAGATCATTGAACTAGAACTAAAATCAAAATTATAAAAACAAAAAAATTCCAGTAACGAAAAAGTAAAGACAGTACTTTCGAACGTAAATAATACGATATAATACAATTATAAAAGAGGCAGTTTAAGGACAGGTTCATGAACCCTCAGTATCGCATTGTATGCAAATTATCATGTAAATCACAGCTATATTAAAAACAAACCCATCAAATTGTTTATATAATAATGAATTTTTCTCGAGAATTATAATAATAATAATGATCATTATATAGCTGCAATCGAAATTGGCTAATGATAATAATTATAATGATAATAGTAATAAGCGAAAGTCTAAATGAATATTATTGTTTAAATAATTTTATACTGTATATGTAAGGGGTACAAATTTATGTTCTTTAAATTTAAGGAATATTTTGTTTCATCCTCAAATTTTACATTAAAAGATATCACTTTTTATTTTATCATTGAATATAATTTAAAACCATTATATATATGAATATAGAAATATGAATTAATTTTTTTTTTATATTTTGATTTATTGATTTTTTTTGTTTTTTTGAATTTATTAAAATTGTGAAAAATAACCAAAATCCAAATATTATTTTTAAATAGTCATGAATATAACAAATTTAGTAGATGATTTTTAAACTACTTTATATATATTATTATTTCATATATATTACTTACAATGAATAGAAAAAGTTGAAAAATGTATTAAACGATTAATGCCGCAAAAGAATCTATTAAAATTTATATATTTTTGTGTAATTTAATTTAAAAATTAATGAGAAATATCAAATTTTTATATAAAAAATTTTAAAAGTATATAAATGTAATAATTAAAAATATTTTAAACAGTAAATTTAAATGCCGACTTAGCCGCATTCATCCATAAAACCAAAAACGAATTTTTTAACTAAACATTATTTACAATATTTTGTTAACTGCAATGTTTGTTAAATTAAGATAGATTTTTTACAAGTGTCATAAGTGCTATATTATACGCCACAAACTTAGTTTAATTCTCGTTATTATTTAATTATTAAAATAATAAGAACGTAAATTTTGTTAATGTATCCACATAACAGTTGTTATTGACGAAATAGTACGTAAATATTAAACAATTTTAATTATTTAATTATAAAATTTAAATTTAATCTTTAATCTATAATCTATTGGTTTTTTTTTTTTAAAACTCAGGATACTATAAATATAAATTTTAATTTAATAATATTTAGTTATCACATTAAATCAATATAAAATGAATAATATTTTATAATTTGTTCTCATTTATTTACTAAAAATAATTAAAAGAAAGTTAAAACATATTATAAAGTGGCTCCATATGGTTCCAAAGTGCACCTTTTACACTTAAAAACTATAAATAAAATTGTATCTGAAAAAAAGCATAACAGTTACAAAATATGTAAAATTTAGCAACAAAAATTTAATATAAAAATGAAATTACTATTTAGTTCACATACACACACATATATGTATATACTAGCGTCTCAATAATTTTTTTTTCACTGCTGTGTGTTAGTAAGATACGCAGTGAATACGATACTATATTTAAAAAATGTAAAAATATTTAAAAGAACTTTCATAGTCATTATTTTTGTATGAAAATTTAGAACATATTTGTTGAATTTTATATATATATATATACATTATATGTTATATTTTACATATACTTTATTTTAATATCACAATTTGAATATTCGAATTTATTATTAACTGCAGCCAAAGCAACAAAAGTAAAAAAGACAAAAAATTTTAAAAAAATAAAAAACTAAAACACAAATGTGATTGCAAAAATAATATTAATCGAATATTTTTATTAATATATTTTTTTTTTATTTTTTTATATAAATAGTTCAATTTAAATATATATGTATATGTATATATATATGTGCAAATTAAATTTGAAATATATTGAATAAAATGCAATTTTTCTTGTGCATTTATTCAATTGAAAAGCATATATATTAGCATCAAAGACTAAATTTCATGAAACGAAACGAAACCTGAAAAACGGAACGCAAGGGATCTCTTATTAAAATTATTATTCAATAAATTTTTAAGATTTTTTTAATTTACTTATAACAAAATGTCAAAAATATTGTTTATAAAACAATATTAAAGCATTTAAACAATTATATAGATATTTATATATGCATATATATATATTTATCTATACACGTATATATTCATATACAAATGTGATGTGATAAGTTTTTTTTATATAAATATGGATGTAATGAGGCACATTCGTTATATATTTTTTATATATAAATACTTAATACATAGTATTTAATAAGTTTATATAACAAATTTTTTTAATTACTTTTTTTACACTAAAGACATAAATGTAAAAAATAGATCTTTGGAAAATATTATATGTACGTACAAAGATTTATATATACATAATTTTATATATCACTCGGATATATATATATGTATATTTTTTTTAGCTACATAATTTGTTTAAAAAACATATTCGTACAATTATTTTCAATTTAAAATATATTAATTTTTTACTTTGGCTTAGAAAAAATTAAAAAAGCAATTTAACATTTATGTATTTTATATTGTATACATACATATAAATAAATGTAAATGCAATACATTTAATTTTTATAAATATGTATCACATATATGTATTTATAAATTTATACAAATATGTGCTTATATCTATATATTTATAAATTTATATAAATATGTGTTTACATATATATATTTTTAAATTTATATAAATATATATATAGATGCATGTATATATGAATTGAATTTAAATGTATTTACATGTATATGTTAAGTGTATCATATAATGTATTATGTGTACATAAATGAATTTGTTTTTGTGTTTATTTAGTGAAATATATTTTAAAATATTTGTAATGTATTTAATGCGTATTTAAATTGTATTTATTTACTGTAAAATATATACATTTAGTTGCATATACATTTTTGTATGTATTTCTATATATATTTTTATATATATTTCAATATATATTTCAATATCATATTGCTATATATATTTTTATATAATTTCTATATATATATTTCTATATATATATTTCTATAATATGTATTTCTATATAATATATTTTTATATATATTTTTATATATATTGCTATATATATTTTTATATAATATATTTGTGTATATATATGCATTTGTATATGTATTTATATATGTATTTGTATATATATGTATATATACATTTGTAAATATATATATAGATGTATTTGTGTATATATTTATAGACATATTTTTAAATATATTTGTATATATATTTATGTATATATTTGTATATGTATTTATATATGTATAAATATAAATTTATGTATATCTTATGATGTGAATATACACGCGCAATTAATATATTAAATATGTTTAGAAATATATTTCATTATATAAATACAGAAAATATATATTATGTTGTTTTCGCTAATCTAATTACAAAAGAAAATATTTTGTTTTTAATAATTGAGGACTACTCCTTATTGAACTGAGCCAAAATACACACGAAAAAAAAAGAATTTATTATTATTAATAAAAACGAATTAATTATTAATTTTCACTGTTTTGTTTTTATTTTTAAGCATTAAAAATGATATATATACATATATTTTTTAAAAATACATTATATACACTTAAAATTGTATAATTACATTATCTCATTGATAAGTAAATTAAATTAATATGCAAAAGTATTGCGAAAGTATACTAATTCTTTCATTACAATGCAACCTAATAGACTTGAATTATTAGTATTTAAACTTTTTTAATTTTAAAATATAAAAATTATTTCTCATATTAGACTTAAAAAATAAAGCAATTTGTATATAAGTGAGTTAATATAACTCACTCTTCTGCAATGCTGTAAAAAACTCAATTTTTTATAAACTTATTGAAATCGAAACATGCAAAATGTAATTATAACTTTTTTTATTAATGAACTTTAAGCAATAAGTTTTAGTAATAAATATATAGAAGGCATTTTTCAAGTTTAATAATTATAACGATGAAAATTACTTTTTCTGTACAAAATAAGCACACATCTTGTTAAAAGTTTTTATAATTATTTTTTTTATTACTAAATTATGTATTTTCATATAAGGAACGCAAAGAAGACAAATGTTATTTACATAATAAGAAAACTGAATTTGTAAAAAGTAATTGAAAAAAAATTGCATTTGAAATTTTGAATATAAAATTTTACAATATAATTTTAATTACAAATATATAATTTACTTATATTTAAATTGGGCCAGTCTTGTCCATATTTGTATTAAGAAAAGAACCAACCACTATAAATTGTTATATAGCATATAACAATTTGATTCCTTAACACTTAACTAAAGATAGTAACAAACTAAAAATTAATAAGATTTTTGTGTGATATTAAATTAGGCGTAAATACAAAAAATGTTATTAAGCAACAAAAATTCTTTGTACAAAACATAATAGCATTTTAAAATTTAGGTATTACACAAAATTTTATATTTATATACATGCATATATTACATCAGTACTGTAATATAACAAAGTGAAATATAAGAAACGTGCGTACGTGTTATCGTTTTTTTTTTTTTAATATTCTTAATTTTTCTAAGAACAGCTCATGTGATTCCTTAATGAAAAAGTAATATATATATATAAATAATTTTTTTTTAAAAAAAAAGGCAACACTTTTTATTAGCAAGATTAATAATTTTAGTAAACATAAATTAAAGTTATTAGAAAAGAATTAAAATCAAATGCAATTTAAGAACAAACAAAATTGTTTAAAAATAAGTATTGTTTTATTTAATATTTTCTATTATTATTAAAAAATTATAATTATTATTGAAAGCAAAAAATTTAGAACTTATAATATCAAATTTTTAAAGACAAACCAACAAAAAGCCAACGGTAGCTTCAAAATTATTTAAGAAACAATTGATGAAACTGATCAATAATTGAGAACATTTATGAAACTGAATAAACTGAAGAAAAAGAAACCAAAAAAAATAAATATGTTTTTATTTCATAGTTTAATATAATTTATATCTATTATTACTTAAAGGTTTATGGTATTGTTAAAGATAGAAAATGTATATTGGCAAAAATGAACGTTAAATAGAACGTTTCAAGAACAACAGGCTCTAAGTCTAAGCCACTCGAGGTATACGATGACCAAATGGCGTTCACCACAACCAAAAGGGACTGCACAAGCAAATCTCTGAGGATTACAACAACATTAGAAAGTTCAATAATATGGCTGTTAATATTAAAATGAGCAACATCCAAAAAACTTTTTGAGTCCAGCTAAAGCTGATCCTTTAGCTTATATTGAATGTTAGGCATAGTTAAGTTCTTTTACTTCATTTATTTGTATTCTTTTTTTCGTATTTTTGTGTTTTATATATGTTGTTGTTGTTATTATACCCCACTGGGACCGCTGATAGTAGATAACATGAACTGATTTATAAGACGTTTACAAGGGTAAGGATGGGGGTCTGTGCTGGTTGAAAATGGACGACGGGGGATTAGGGTGAATTGGAGTAATTAGGATTTAAATTGAAGATTAACTCGGGTAGCAGCAGAGACTATACAAGCAGATGTTTTATGTATGATTATTTGCACATAATTTAGTCAGATAAAATGTAGAAGAAAAAATTGTTTATTAGTCAAATAGAAAAAAAAATATACAGAATACTGTATTTGTTTCCGATTATCTATCTGGGAACCGCTCAAAATCAAAATCGGGTTTAAAGTGGAACCTTTAACGTGTGATAAAAAACGATGCAGCTATTAAAATGGCCAACACCCGACAAACTTTTCTAAAATTATCTTATACTAAATATTAGACACAATTATGTTTTTTTTATCATATTTATTGCTATTATTTTATATTGCCTTTAGATTTAATGTAATGTATGGTTTGTGTGTAAATATATTTGGTCAAATAAAATGTAAAAAACTTGTATTATTTTTATTAGCCAAATGAAAATGTAAAGCATAAACCGTACTTATTTGTATCATGTAAAAATCCATGATTGTCTAGAAACCCAGGGTGTGAACCGATCCTGAAAAAAATGATTTTTAGTTAAGACTTCCAAATTTTAGTATAGTTAAATTGAACTATTTTGGATTTTAGTTAAAAGAACAGTAAAAGGAACCAGTGATTCAGAGTACTCAGTTCACGAAATTGAATTTATTGAAGAGATTAGAGATAAGATCGAAGAGATTTATTTTATAACTATTTGACTATCCTAATATATAGTATATACCATTTAAGATTAAATAGATTTTATAACTATCTGGCTATCCCATTTAACCGAACCAATCTAGATCAAATAGATTTTATAACTATCTGGCTATTTTAATATACATAACATACGAAATTATTTAATAAAAAAAAATAAATACATTGATCAATAGAAATTTATTTTATAGACTAATCTATTAGCGATTTTTTTTAACGAATACAAGCGACTCACGCCTTCATAGTTCTATAACACTTTGAAAAAGATCATGAGAGACTTTTGGTATGAAACTAGTTACTATAATTTAAGTCCATTAATCTTAATCAAGATTTGTCCGGTATAAAAGTTTAAATCTTCCTGAAATTAAAGATTTTAATTACTAGTAATTACCCAATCTATTAAATTCTCCTGGCGCCTCTCGATGTAGAATAACTACCTATAGCTGTTTCTACTAGAGAAACTACATTTATGTAAAAGAGCTGAAATATAAATTGTATAGTTACTCTGTGAAAGCTTTTAATTTCTAAATATATTCTATTATTTTGTTCTCTTTATAGTTAAAAAAAAGAATAACGTAGAGCACTTCTTGTTACTTTGTACTTTATAACTACAATATATATATATACAGTTAATTGGTTTTGGTATATCTGATGTTATCAATAATTCAGCTCGTAGCTTGTTTTTTAAATTTCACGATATAGATGTTGCTAGAAACAAATATATAATGGGGATGATGACCTCATGTTCCTTGTCGATTGTTATGTTAAGGTGTTCGTTCCAGTTAAACTTTTTATTGATTACAATTCCCAAATTTAGTTTTAATTCTTTTTCTTTACTTGTTTATTCAAAAATTGAATGTTATACAATAATATAAATTATATTAATATGTTAGAAATAATATTTTTGAAGTTGTCTCTGTCTCTAGCAATATGTACCAAGTCTCCAATTGCCCAGTCTAGTATCGGATGTTCTTCAACCAAGCCATTTGTTTTCGTCTTATGCCGCATTGGCCTTCGATTCTGCCTTCCACAATCAGTTGCAGGAATTCATATCTTGAACCTCGGATGATATGACCAAAATACCTCGTTTTCTTTTTTTGATAATTTTTAGGAGTTCTCTATCTTTTCTTAATCTTGTTAGAACTTCTTGATTTAAAACTTTGTCCGTCCAAGGAACCTTCAGAATACGTCTGTAGCACTACATTTTAAACGCTTCGATTTTGTTCATTGTTAGGATTTTTAAAATCCAGGCTTTCAAGCCGTAGAGTAGAATGGACCAGACATAGCATTTAGCTTAGCGGATACGTAAGTTGATGCTGATGTTGCTATTGCAACATTATTTAATTAATTAGTATACAATAATTCTTCAGTACTAATTAAGACCTTGGTGCATTAAAAACAGACAATAACTGACATTATTCTTGTAATTTATTATAAAATATCAGTAGTATCTTGGTAATAAATCCCTATAGTTCAGCTATAAAATGTATTACAGTTACCAAAAATAATATATGCATATACAAATATATTATTATATATATTATATTATATATTTATATATATGTATATAAATATATTATTATATATATACTAGCTGACCCGGTGAACTTCGTGTCGCATTTGTTCAATGGCGGTTTTAAATAATTAATTAATTCATGAATAATTAATTCAATGAATTTTGTAATTCAGCGACAATCTCTCGTTTAGTACTCATATTCAGTTGACACCGTCTGTTGATTCGTTCGTCAACAGGGGGATTGTAAATAAAACCACATAAATTCAAATCAGCATGTATCGTTCGAATTCGATTCCTTTGCAGCCTTGCTTGCCTCTGTTCACTCGTTTCTAATGATCGTGCAACAGCAGTGTGAACTCCATTCCTTTCTTGCCTAGTTTGTCTCTGCTCACTTGTTTCTAACGATCGAGCAAGAGCAGTGTGAACTCGATCTTTTTCTTTCCTTGCTTGCCTCTGTTCACTCGTTTCTAATGATCGTGCAAGAGCAGTGTGAACTCCATCCCTTTCTTGCCTTGCTTGCCTCTGTTCATTCGTTTCTAATGACCAAGCAAGAGCAGTGTGATCTCTTTCGATCTCTTTCTTGCCTAGTTTGTCTCTGCTCACTTGTTTCTGAAGCTCGTTCTTCTCTTTTCCTTTTTCCTTGATTTGTAGTTCGACCAATGGCATTTCGCTTTAGTGGCATAATTGTGGTTGGTGTTAAATAAAACGTATTTCCCTCTGATTTTAATAAATTAAATTAAATAAATTATTCTATTTCACTCAATATATTTACTCAAAACTAAAACACACACTGTACGAATGTAAAAACCAAAGTTACTTCTCACAATCTAGGATTGCTAGATTGTTTTAAATGACTTTGGAAATTATATTACAGAATACACTTTTACCAAAATATTACTAATTAAATGAACCTAGAACCCCAACTCTGATTTTAATAAAAATTTGCAAAAACCTTCTCGGGGATATACCTAATAATTTCCCAAATTTTCACGATGATTGGATGTATGGGTTTTGAATCCATCGAGTACAGACATACAGACAGACAACATTCGTTCATATTATATATAGTAAATAATGTTAAAAAATTTTATGTTCTTATTAATTTATTTATAAAAAATAACAGCAAACATTTAATTTTAACAATGAGACAAATAATGTAGTTTAAATTTATAAATATTACATTGCTTTAATAATTGAAATAATGTTATTAATGAATTTTAATGAATTAATGAATTTGTTTTTAGTGAACAAAATACTTAAAAAAAAAACATAAGGTTATAGTATTAAATATTTTTCAGTTACTAAACCAACCCGCCATGTTGAAGAAATCATTAAAATCTTGAAACATCGGCGACACTAAATAAAAAAATATTTAATATTATAATTTTATGCTTTAATTTCAAATATTTATTTGAAATTTAAATAACAATTAATTATAAATTAATTAAATTTATATAAAATTAATTCAGTATAAATTAAATTATAAACTATTTAATTATATTTAAATTATAAATTGAATTATAAATGATCAAATTAATTTAATTTAATTAAATTTTAAATATAATTTAAAACCTAGTTAAATTTCTTAATATAAATCAACTCATCAACTAAAATAATACCGCGACAAATAAAAAAATATTAATTATAATAAATGTTATTCTTGAGCGCCAATTTAACCGAAGTGCCAATTATATAGTAACTGCGGATTAATACCGTGTAAATCATAATAAGCAAATTGTTGAGGGGTCATTGGAGGTCTTTGTAAAAAGTTTGCTTGCCAATTGGACATGTTATATGCGTACACATTTTGCGAAGCATTATAGTGACTTTGAGTCCAAGCGAGCATAACATTTTGTCTATATCTTTGATAAGAGTGTCGATTCATACCGTAAGTTATGTCATTGTTATAAATGAAATATGGGGTATTACACCCAGGAATACGGACGTATGGATAAACACCAATTTGTATTGTACGACCATAATATCCGTAATTATGATAAATATTAAATGGAATGTTTGATCTTCCTGAAGTATTCCTAGCATGTGAACGATTATTATAAGCACGCGTATAGTGCCTGTTACGTGTAGAAGAAGCAGATGAAGACGATCTGCTTCCGTTATTATTAGCTACATAAATAGAATTATCACAGAATTGTCTATTACGTCTTCCGCTTGCAGAAGCAGCCAGTCTATTTGCAATATCATTGTTCAATATGTTTTGATAAAAATTAGCATAATTAATATAGAAATGCATATAGCTGCTGTTTCTTGCAAGATGAAGTGGAGGAACAAATCTGTTTGAAATATTATTTAAATTATTGTTAATACCTTGTGGTACATTGAAAGAATGCATATTATTCCTAAAGCTTGACGAAGAAATAGAACGTGAATAAGGGACATAAACAGCAGGAGGAATAAAACTATTTGCAATATTATTTAAATGATTAGAAATAGTTTGAGGTACATTTGTAGCACTGTTATAGAACCGTTTGTTTGTTCTACTTGTTGTAGAGCGGGAAGGCAGTATAGAAGTAGAATGAGCAGAAGTAATATTGTTTAAATTATTTGAAGAACAATTACTTTGAGATACATTGACAAGACTGTTATTGCTTGAGCAGCTTGTAGAAGGAGCAGGCGCAGAGATAGAAGTACCAGAAGAATAAGGAGTATTAGAAGGAATGAAATTTTCCGAATTATTATTTGAGTTCAAAATACTTTGAGACTCATTGATAAGATTATCAGTTACAGGCATTTCATTTAAATCACTTCCAAAAGAGACATAAGGAGAAAAAGAAGCCCGAGCAGTGACATTATTCGAAACTTTATTTGTATTCAAAAAACTTTGATGATAATTACTGATAGCATTGTCAATTACAAACATTTCGTTTGAGTGGCTTGAAATGACATTGTTTGAAGCATTATTTGAATTCAAAATACTTTGAGAATCATTGATTCGACTATCAGCAACATACACGTTACTTGAGCCGCTTACAGAAAAAACATGGGAAGAAGAAGCAGAAGGAGATGAAGAGGTGACACAAAGTGAAGAAGCAGAGGAGGTAAAAGTGTTTGAAACTTTATTTGAATTAGAGGAACTTGGAGGAACATGGAGAGAACTATCCTGTACATGCATGTTGTTTGAGTGGCTTGCAGAAATAGCAGGAGCAGGAGAATGAGAAGATGCAGAAAAAGAAGAAAGTGGTATAGAACTGATAGAAGGAAGAGAGGGAACAGCAAAAGAAACAGAAGTGTTCGAAAGATTATTTGCACTAAAAATAGTTTTTGGTGCATTTGTAGAAGTATCATGTATATTGCTTAAGCCAATAGTAGAAGGAGGCGTCGTAATATATCTATTTGCAATCTTATTTAAATCAAACAAAATACGTTGAGTTCTAACGATAGAACTATCATAAACAAATCTATCTCTTGTGCTGCCTGTAGTAGGTGAATAAGAAGTAGGAAGAGAGGGAGCAACTGAAAGAAAATCAAGACCAAAAGGGACAACACTATTTGCAGTATTGTTAGATATACGTAAAGTTTGATTAATGGAATTATCAAAAGGATACATATCGCACGTACTGTTTTTAGAAGCTTCAGCATTAGTAAGACTATTCGTAATATCATTTAAATTGTTCAAATAAGTTTTATATATATTAATAGAATTATCAGAGGAAGAAAGAGAAGGAGGAGTGCCAAAAGTAGAAAGAGGAAAATTATTCGAATCAGAAATTTTGGGAGGTAAGTTCATAGAGTTATTGGAGACATTAATGCTGCTTATTTTGCTTGTGGAATTCTTAGGTGTAACAAAACTATTTGCAATATTATTTAAATGATCAAAAATATTTTCAGATGAATTTTTAGAATTATCGGAAAATCGTAAATTGCGTCTGCTGTTTACACCGTTAGGAATAAATTTTGAATTATTAATACTTCTAGGTATTTTGACAGGATTATCAAAGATATATTCTTTTTTTGCTATGCTTGCTGATGAAGCAGATGTATCAAAATTATTTATTTTAACGGTATTTAATCCACAGTTTTGGCCTTGTTTAAATGTAGCAAATGGAATATTTGCTCTTCCAGCGACATTTTCCATAACAGCATGTCCACCATACGTATACATATTGTTACTGCTGCCTGTAGAGAATTCTTTAGTCAAGTTATGAACATCCCTTGGAACACCGTTCCCACCAAAGTTTTGATCACTTGTAAATAGAACAATTTCTGGTAATCTTGTACTACCACCGAAAGAACGTTCATAAATGTATGCGTTCTTTTTCGTATCGGTTGCAGTTTCTCCATCTGTTTATGTATACAATTTATGTGGAGAGTATTAAATTTAAAGTTAGAAAGCTAATATTTTACCTTTTATGTTCTGAGTTTCATTATCTGTTACAGCATGTATCTTAAGAGTTGCATATAAGGTTGGGTCTAAAGTAAAATTTTGATTGCCAAAAGTATAACCGTTCGTTGCGGCACTTCGAGCTATAAGACCAACTGCATCGAGACCACCAATTTTATTTGCAAAAGTTGCAAAACCAAAATTTTGTAATAACTTCCGATAAAAGTAGAGATCAACATTTATGTGGACTTTGACATTTTCCAATGTCGTGTACTTTACATCACTAGAACTCCCACCGTTTGCTCGCAATTTATCTTGCTCTAAATTTATACTTAAAAGTTTATCCATCAATTTCTTTATTTGATTATTATAAAATATAAAGTTATAGCATTGTAGAAATATAACTTCATTGCGCTCCAATTTTTTGTTTTCCTATCAAATGTAAAAAAATTATACTAAACTTGCAAATATTAGCATTGGGCTCTTACTATGGTTTTTTGATAATTTTTAAGTATTTTCTTATGATGAACCACTTTGTAGTCTGAGAGATTGTTGTTTTCATGTGACATCATTTTAAATAATTCATTATCTGGTGTAAATGAATGAACTCATACAATTTAAATATGCAATTAATGATAAGCATATGCAGTAATCCCCCTATAACGCGGTAGATTGGTTCCGAATGAATTATACAAATCCCTACGTTATATGGGAGAATGCACGTGTTATACGGAGGATTGAAATCGCATAATATGAAAACGCGAGGGGGAGTACTGTATAATGTTTTCATAATAATTTATATAGTTAATTTAGTCTCACCTAAATTCCAATTTTGCTCTTCTGCCATATTTAGTAAGAAGCTAAATCGTTAAACGATTTAGACCTAGAACAGATAAATTCCAACAAACGTCCAGCACTCTACTGCACCTGTCTCTGATATGTGATATCATAATAACATGATATGTAATTTCGTGAGACACTTAAACATTAAATGATTTAAATTTTAAACAAATAAATTCCAACAAACGTTTAAGAAACTACTATACTTATTTCAGATACACATCGGCTATGAATAGCCGATGCAAAGTAAGTGTGAGGTATATTATGTCGCTTTCACTTTCTTATTCATTTGTACAGTCAAATTTTCCGGCATTTTAACAATAAAATTTCAAAAAGTGCAGAGTTGCATTTGATGCTTCTTCTATAGAAGCAACACGTAAGTTGCTATTTTTTATAGTAAAGTTTAAGGACCAATTCTAGAGTCGTAACATAAGTCAGCAAAGTTGTTGACTTAAACATGACAAGTCAGTCTTAAGAGTTAAGCTTTGACTTTAATCGACTTTAAATGTTTGAAAATTAATTATAAAATTCGAAGTTGTGCCGATAATGTAGTGATGTGTCGATACGTGTTGATAAATGACTAAATGTGTGCAGTGCAAAAAATCCCAAAAAATCTCCCATTTGGTTTAGCATCAACTTAGCCTAACTCGCACACGTTCTAATTACAATTACATACTTTACATATGGTGAATTATTGAATTCCCATATGAAAAAAATAAGTGCAATCAGTGATTATTCTCTTTTTTGCGCTAGAAGAAAAGCATCGAAAGCCACACTATAAGACTTGAAGTCATTAAAATTAACTTTAAGGAATTCTGAATGTACAAATTATTCAAATTAATAAACCGATGGATGTTATTAAGTAAGAAATGTCTACAACATAATTAATACCCAATATAAACCAGCCGTGTTTAAAATGCATATACTGAGTAAATTGCTATTAAAGTAAAAATAGTGGATTACAGCTTATTGCACCACTTCTAAATGATCCCAACTATAGCAAAAAAACCTCCATATGAGACGTTTCCTCTGAAGCTAAATTAATTATAATGTAATGTGGTCATGAGATGTATTTTAATATAAAATGGCTACGAAGTTTAGCAAATTGGCTTGTTAATGTGGTGCTTTTCAAGCAAAAGTTAAGAACGCTTTCCAGTGAAATTTAATAAATTGTTTTTTAATCTTACTGCCGGTTATTTTTGGATTTAAGAAATGAATGAAATTTAATGTAGACTTTTTATTAATTTTTTGCAGTGTCATTATTTATACATATTCTTTTTTTTTTGTTGGGTCATTATCACATAAAAAATTTACACTTTATTTATTTTGTTTGCACCATAATCAATTAAAAATAAATAGTCTTCACTTGAATTTTACTCGTTGATATTTTTCAAATAGAATTCAAATAAGTTTTGTACAGTACGAAATAGCAACACGCTATCACAAACTTTCACACCTTACTTAATTTTGAGTACGGGAACACGAATAGTAAAATTCAAGTAATGATTTACTTGAAATTTACAATATTCTTTTATTTAAATTTTACTACAAATATGTATGAGAACAGACTTAATTTATCATCGTATTAGGTCTGTAGTATAACTCAAGTAAAACACAAGTAAAATTTACACGAAAATACACGAACGTTTTTTGTAGGAACGTACTTGTGTATACACAGTGTTACTCAAAGTTACTTCGAGTAGCTCATGGAACAGACTTATTGTGTATCATGCTTACATTTTTACTAATAGTAAAAAAATGTCATTAATATGACATTTATTGCACTGCCTGGTTTATCCAACGTACAATGAATTTGTGAATATTCATTTAAATTTATTTAGAACAAATAACGAAAAACATGCTAACATATAAAATATATATATTCATAATTATATATAACATATATAATTATAAATATGATATATTTAATTATATCTCTGCCCTTTTAAGAAAGCAGAGATATTTTTTTCTTACAAGGTTTTACCATAATTTTTTTTTTAAATATTTTTGATAAGTAATTGTACAAAGTAAGGTTGTTTGTTATTAAGAAACTTTTATTAAACAATAAAGATGAAATTTATATTAGTGATGGAAAACAGCATTTAGACAGCGCATGTAATGTAAACTAAATGAGTAGACCCGCTTTAAAAGAAACAATTGTAAAATCACAATTAGTTTTTTATGGAGATGAAAAGTATGAAGTATATATATAATGCTCATCGGTGAAGTAAACAGATCTATTATTGCTTCAAATAGCGTTGAATTATTCAACCACACAGATGATCATCTTATTATGAAATCTGCTATAACGTGTAAAAGAAAAAATGATACTAAGTTACAGTTAATCCAGACCTGACAGGCCGAGAGATGTGAAAGAAATACAAATAATTAATTTTAAATTAATTTTAATAAATTAAAATTAACGAATTTATTTAAAGCTTTAATTTTAACGAAGAATGAAATTTAATATACTAAAAAACAATAGTATAATTGTAAAAAATAACTTGTTAAGCACCGATTTAAATTTGGTTCCATTCAAAAAGGGTTTGTTGACTAAAGGTAGAATAGTCATATTGAACACCTGTCATTGAAGAAACGTGTACATAGCATTGATAAACCGATTGTTGATGATTAACAGCATATCCTCCCATATATGGATTGAAATTGTAATTACTTTGCACAGTACTGCGCCGTACAGGAGGAATCATACTCGAACCGTAGCCAAGATTATAGTTGTGGTAAACAGCTGCACTTTGATAGTTTGCAACATTAACAATCTGGTAGCCCACGAGTATTGGCCCATAATTTGGAAGCATGTTATAGATCGGATAAAAGTTACAAGCTAAATGCGAATCGACTACACTAGTGGCTTGAAATGACATATTGAATGAACCATTAGTTTGATTGTTAATGAAAGAATTTTGTGGACGATAAGCTTGCGGTGCCGGCTCAGGATTAGCGTTGAAGCTTGGAACATGATTTAGATCATTGGTATGAATTACAGGTACTTCAGTTACACTTGTATTTGCAGTTACAGTTTGCACTTCAGGTAACGGGATAGAATCAACACTTCTGGTATTTGCAACACATTCATTTTGTTTGATGGTAGGTGAAATATCACATGTCACAATGTTATTTTCTTGATTAATACCGGTTTCTTCATCCGACTCCTGATAATCATTTTCATCTATAAAAACATGTAATTTTGTTTTAAAGTTTTTGAGTGGTTACGTCGAAAATATTTTAAAGTCAGTTTTGTTTTTTAAAAAACAAAATCGACTTTATTTATAAAAACTTATTATTTTTCATATAACCATATAAAAAATACGGATGTAACATATAAAAACTATGTAACATAGAAGATATACTTTTCACATATAAGGATTCCTAACATAATAATATCTAGATTGATGAAGTTTAAACTATAGATCTCTGTTCTACCTAGCTTATCTTGACTTTCATTGTTTGTTCCAGCGTTCAAGTTAAAAATGTCAGGGTCATCTGCTTCTATACCTGATTTCTGATTACGAACAGAAGCGCCATTTGTAGCAGCAGCCCGTGCTATGATAGCAACGGATTCTAAACCACCAATGTTGTAAGCAAGAGTTGCAAAACCAAGATTGTCCATCAACTTTTTACAAGCAAGTTGTTCATTATGTAAATTGCGTTCACGATCATTTAAAATTACGTAGTCCATATTAGTTGAATCAATACCAGCTGCGCGAAGTTTTGATAGATTAACATTTAATTCCAACCGTTTTTCCTCCAACTTTTTTATGTAATTACTATAATAGGTAAAGTCATAACATTGGGAGAAAACAATGTCATTAAGTTTGGCTTTCTCATGCTTCAGTTATATGAAAAATTTTAACAAAAATTAAAATAAAATTAATTAAGGTACAAAATAGGGATCTTACAAGAGGCATTGATTCTTGACGCACTGATGTTGAATCAGTTGAGCGTGTTTCACCTTTTATTTTTTAAGTTTATTTAAAATTAAATAAGATTCTTAGCCTCTAAAAAAAATTGTCTTACCAACTTTCAATCCTGAATTTATGAAATCCGCCATTTTTTGTAGAATAGTTGCAGATATTTTTATCTAAATATCAAGTAATTAAAACAAAATTATTTTCTTATCTTAAATAAATTAATATAATAATAAATTAATAGTTTTAAAATAGTTTTAAATACTTAACTTTAGTTGGCAGTAACACACTGACACAGTTCTTTTGATAAGTCAAATATCATTTATTCAACTAAATATTTTGAAAAATAAATGGTTACTTGCCTTTAATTTATAATTTTCAAAACTTCCGGAAGATGTGATAACTTTTTCAGAGTTGCATTTGGAATGTGTCTTTTTTTATTATTTTTGAAATTTCTTTGAATACATTTATAAATTTATTTAAATATATCATCGACTCTTTTTTAAACGTAATATTTAGATTTTTATTAAATCTAAATCTTAAAAGGTGATTTTATTGCGTCCAAGTCTAAAAAACAATTGCATGACATTTAATGCAATTGGAATATCATTTATTGGAATAATTGCCTTTAATTGCAATTAATGGTGCTACTTAAATAGGCTATAAAGCATGATATAGACGATGAAATTTGTTTGCAAACAAGGTTTGCTGGCTATCAAATTGCATCGTCTATACTCAAGTTTGCAAACCAAAATTTGGTTTGCAAACTAGTTTGCAGTGAAATTAAAATTTTTCAATTATTTGTTAAGTTTGCAAACATGTTTACTTGTGTATATCGAAGTTTGCAAACTTCTCATAATTTAAGAATTTTGGTGAGCGTCGGACAAGCAAAGATTACAGAAAAAAATTATTAATTCTTAGTAAAAAGAAAAATAAATGAAAAATAATTAAAAAATTGCTAGACATTAGACAATTATTGAAGAAGTTTATATATTTTAAAAATTATTTTGTGCTAAAAACATTTTTATAGTAAGCTTTAATATTTAAACAATTATTATATGAATAAAAATTTTAAAATGTAACATATTAAAAAATTGAAACAAAAATAATTTTAGTTTAAAAAATGAAATAAATAACAGGTTGCTATGATCATCACCTCAATTTCTTCAGTTTCAATTATTGTTTTGCACTCTGTACTTACTCCGCTGTTGATATGAACGCTGTAGAAAATAAATAAAAATAAAGTTTACCAACCTTGTTTCAAAGTGTATAGCAAAGCGCATATTCGGTTTGCAAATTTGGTTTGCAAACAAATTTCATCGTCTATATCATGCTTAAGGCAAACTAA